ACAGAGGCAGAGACCGAGGCAGAGGCAGAGACAGAGACAGAGACAGAGACAGAGGCAGAGACAGAGACAGAGACAGAGGCAGAGACAGAGACAGAGACAGAGACAGAGGCAGAGACAGAGGCAGAGGCAGAGACAGAGGCAGAGGCAGAGGCAGAGGCAGAGACAGAGACAGAGGCAGAGGCAGAGGCAGAGGCAGAGGCAGAGACAGAGGCAGAGACAGAGGCAGAGGCAGAGACAGAGACAGAGACAGAGACAGAGGCAGAGACAGAGACAGAGACAGAGACAGAGGCAGAGGCAGAGGCAGAGACAGAGACAGAGACAGAGGCAGAGACAGAGGCAGAGGCAGAGACAGAGGCAGAGACAGAGACAGAGGCAGAGGCAGAGGCAGAGGCAGAGGCAGAGACAGAGGCAGAGACAGAGACAGAGACAGAGGCAGAGGCAGAGACAGAGACAGAGACAGAGGCAGAGGCAGAGAGAGACAGAGACAGAGACAGAGGCAGAGACAGAGACAGAGACAGAGGCAGAGACAGAGGCAGAGACAGAGACAGAGACAGAGGCAGAGGCAGAGGCAGAGACAGAGACAGAGACAGAGGCAGAGGCAGAGACAGAGAGAGACAGAGACAGAGACAGAGGCAGAGACAGAGACAGAGACAGAGACAGAGGCAGAGGCAGAGACAGAGGCAGAGACAGAGACAGAGGCAGAGGCAAAGGCAGAGGCAGAGGCAGAGGCAGAGGCAGAGACAGAGACAGAGGCAGAGGCAGAGACAGAGACAGAGACAGAGACAGAGGCAGAGACAGAGGCAGAGACAGAGACAGAGGCAGAGGCAGAGGCAGAGGCAGAGACAGAGGCAGAGACAGAGACAGAGGCAGAGGCAGAGACAGAGACAGAGGCAGAGGCAGAGGCAGAGGCAGAGACAGAGGCAGAGGCAGAGGCAGAGGCAGAGGCAGAGGCAGAGACAGAGACAGAGGCAGAGGCAGAGAGAGAGACAGAGACAGAGACAGAGGCAGAGACAGAGGCAGAGGCAGAGACAGAGGCAGAGGCAGAGGCAGAGACAGAGACAGAGACAGAGGCAGAGACAGAGGCAGAGACAGAGAGAGAGATAGAGACAGAGACAGAGGCAGAGACAGAGGCAGAGGCAGAGACAGAGGCAGAGGCAGAGACAGAGGCAGAGACAGAGACAGAGGCAGAGGCAGAGGCAGAGGCAGAGGCAGAGGCAGAGACAGAGGCAGAGACAGAGACAGAGACAGAGACAGAGGCAGAGAGAGGCAGAGGCAGAGGCAGAGGCAGAGACAGAGGCAGAGACAGAGACAGAGACAGAGGCAGAGACAGAGGCAGAGAGAGAGACAGAGGCAGAGACAGAGACAGAGACAGAGGCAGAGGCAGAGACAGAGGCAGAGACAGAGACAGAGGCAGAGGCAGAGGCAGAGGCAGAGACAGAGGCAGAGACAGAGACAGAGACAGAGACAGAGACAGAGGCAGAGGCAGAGACAGAGGCAGAGACAGAGGCAGAGGCAGAGGCAGAGGCAGAGACAGAGGCAGAGACAGAGGCAGAGGCAGAGGCAGAGGCAGAGGCAGAGGCAGAGGCAGAGGCAGAGGCAGAGGCAGTGGCAGAGGCGGAGACGGAGACGGAGACGGAGACGGAGGCGGAGGCGGAGGCGGAGGCGGAGACGGAGACGGAGGCGGAGACGGAGACGGAGACGGAGACGGAGGCAGAGGCAGAGGCAGAGGCAGAGACAGAGACAGAGACAGAGGCAGAGGCAGAGGCAGAGGCAGAGGCAGAGGCAGAGACAGAGGCAGAGACAGAGACAGAGACAGAGGCAGAGGCAGAGGCAGAGACAGAGACAGAGACAGAGGCAGAGACAGAGACAGAGGCAGAGACAGAGACAGAGACAGAGACAGAGACAGAGGCAGAGGCAGAGGCAGAGGCAGAGGCAGAGGCAGAGGCAGAGGCAGAGGCAGAGGCAGAGGCAGAGGCAGAGGCAGAGGCAGAGGCAGAGGCAGAGGCAGAGGCAGAGGCAGAGGCAGAGACAGAGACAGAGGCAGAGGCAGAGAGACAGAGGCAGAGACAGAGGCGCAAAGACAGAGACAGAGACAGAGGCAGAGACAGAGGCAGAGACAGAGGCGCAGAGACAGAGGCAGAGACTGAGACAGAGACAGAGGCAGAGACAGAGACAGAGACAGAGGCAGAGACAGACACAGATACAGAGGCAGAGACAGAGACAGAATTCTTACATTACTGTGTTACAGCAAAAAGCAGTACATTTCAGTCATTACTCTCCTTTTGTAAGGCGTTTCTCCCGACACTGGCAGTAGCTAATGGGAATCTATATAATAAACAAACCAACACTTCCAGCTTCAGGAGAGGCCTCTGCTTATCTGGATCCCAGCCCAGATGCACGGTCCTGGACACACAGTGCTCTCCTTAATATCATTCAAAGGGAGAGAGCACCAGTCCGCTACCTTTCATGGATTAGCGGCTAATCTCCAGCAGCGAGCAGCTCCGCGGGCGCTTTGGGGACGACACCAGAGAAGAAAGAAGAAAGTGACGACCTTCAGAGTCAAGGACAGAGGCCAGAGAAAAGGAAGAGCCGCACTTCACTTCACTCCACTTTTCTAAGACCATAGTGCTGTTGTCTGTGCTGTTGTGTGTCACCAATCCTGTCTTTTCAGCATTATCTCTGCTTAAATGTCTCCTAATAACCAGACACAACAATACCAGCAAAAACAAGCGATAAAAGCAAATCAAAAAACTAATTATTTTGTTGTCGGGATCTGTTTGGGTGAATGGAAATGGATCTATAGCTTCAGTCCTGGGTCTACAACTTCAGTCCTGGGTCTACAGCCTCAGTCCTGGATCTACAGCCTCAGTCCTGGATCTACAGCCTCGGTCCTGGATCACTCTCTCAACAAAGGCCTCTGTGACTTTTTCCATTTTTTCCTGCTGGGTTTTCGAGTGGTGTCTCTCTGATACAGAAGGGTCTCAGGGCCATGATCCGGGACATTTACAGAATTATCATTTCAGGTTGTCCCGCTCCCTCTGGGCATGTGCATTCAATGAACTTCTCCACACAGAGCATGTCGGACCCTCGCTGGGATGTGTACCTCTGTCCCCGGTCTCTATAGAGGGTCTATGCTGGGTCTGCACTGAGTTTTAACCCCAGGCAGATCCATGCTGCTGGTTGATATCTGCTGTAATCCTGCCTCAGTACGACGGCTGAAGCAGAGCTAATCCTCTTCACCACCAGCTCCTACAGCACAATAGAGCAGCCAGCAGTTCTGCTACTGAACATGACATACTGTAAGTCAAAGAATACAAACCTTATTTATTCTTCTAAAGTACCTATGAACTGGTCTCCCCCAGTGTCATGGGCTGCACCTTACGCCCTGAATGGACTCTCTCTGGTCTTTCTCTGATCTCTCTCTCAGGTCTCCCCCTGGTCTCTCTGTCTGGCCTCTCTCTCTGGTCTCTCTCTGATCTCTCTCTCTCTCTCTCTGGTCTCTCTGTCTGGCCTCTCTGGTCTCTATCTGGCCTCTCTCTCTGGTCTCTCTGTCTGGCCTCTCTGGTCTCTATCTGGCCTCTCTCTCTGGTCTCTCTGTCTGGCCTCTCTGGTCTCTATCTGGCCTCTCTCTCTGGTCTCTCTGTCTGGCCTCTCTCTCTGGTCTCTCTCTGATCTCTTTCTCTGGTCTCTCTCCTCTGGTCTCTCTCTCTGGTTTCTCTGGTCCCTCTCTCTGCTCTCTCTCTGGTCTCTCTCACAGACTCAAAGGAATTCACAAAAATATCATGTTGCGTCTCTCAGCGATGAACCACGAAGCCGAGCGGTTTCCAGGAGCAAAACAAACAAATCTATCCAAAGAAGACAAGTGCTGTAGCTGAGGCCTCGGTGCTAGCAAAGAGTACAGTATATAAGGAACTTCTCCAATGATGTGAGCTCAGACAGGTCCGCTGCGCTGTCCGAGCCTGATGTCTGAGTTCATTATGTCACAATAAGACTTCTCGAACAAGTTGAGGATTTGTTATTATTGCATTTCTCTGACTCAGCACCTACATCTCAGAGTCTCTGCTGTATTAGCTATGGTTATTCCAGGTTCCTAATGACTGTGTTTTTGCAAAATTACCCTCCGACCACCAGGGGGCGTGGCCTGACTTTTGTGAAGGCCTGGACACTGAGGACAGAGCATATGGAGCTATAAAAATATCTGGATAGGGTAATACTAGCTTGGAGCTGAAGGATCCATGAGCTCGGGGGATTCTCGTGATACTAGACTGAATTCACGTGAGCCACACAGAAATGTTCCCCATAGAACTCAATGTAAACTAAAACAGCTCGACCTCACCTGACAGAGAACCTACTGTACATAAAGGTTGGATTTTGTACCTTGTCCCTTGTCATCCTGAACTTGGTTTCTTCTTAAATCCTTCAGTTTTTTATAAATCCACACTTTTACTTCCACAAACTCTGCTCGATTGTCTCCTGCTTTTGCTCCGCAGAACTGGGAGGACCAGAGAAATGACCAAATATGGGCGATGGTGGCACATGCGCAGTCTTGGATCGCTGGGACTTGGGACAGAGGACTGACTTGTTGCTTAGAGTGTGTAAGACATAAATTAACATCAGCTCTAATCATCGGCCTATTTCCCTTATTAGCGCATTGACCTTGAATCAAGCCTCTAAACTAGCCTCCAAACTTCTTGTGCTAACACAAACTTAGCTCCACCAATACAGTCACGCCATACCTTGTTGTAAATCTAAAGACATTTTTTTTTACGACATTCCAAATAAATTCCAGAATCCAGTCAATCCAGCTCAAATCCAGTTTTTACAATCCAGGTTGTTGTCCCCAAGTCAAGTCTGATGAACTAAAGTGACCCTCTTGCTATAAAGTTTGGACACCCCTGCTCTAAACTCTTCCGCAGCAGTTGTTTCTGCCGACGATACAGCGCGTGTGTCTTTGCTGAAGGCGAACGGAGACTACAGCAGAAACATCGCAGAATCACATCATGTCGATGGAGGAGGGAGATACTGATGCCTCCCAACAGCAGGAGAATCCCACAGGAGGCAGCAGGTGTTTGGTGGTTGTTCAGGAACAGCAGGAGCAGCAGGAGCAGCAGGAGACTGATGAAGGCAGATTCGTCCAGAGGGGAGCTGTGGATCCAGGCCCAGGTCATGGTGAGGGGAGTGAGTTACAGGGGGGTTTGTTTGGGAAGATCGGGGCCCTCTGTGTCATGTTATAGAGCCGTCTCCCGTGCCAATCTAAAGTGGTCTTTGGGATCATAAACACAAGTTCACAGTGTCATCCAGCCAACTTCAGCTCCATCACAGCAAACGATTAGGCTCAGAACTGCCTGAATCCGGTCAAAATTGTTTTCAATTCAATCATGATTCCAGGCCTTAATGGTCAACGAGAGAGAAGGAAAAATAAAGGTTCTTCTAAATGAACTAAATATCTTCCAAAAAGCTCTCACTTCTCTCTCCTCTTTCTCTCTTCTCTCCTCTCCTTCTTGTTTCTCTTTCCTCTCGCTCCTCTTCCCACCTCCCTCTCTTCTCTGCTTTCTGTTTCCTCTTACTCCTCTCTCTGACGCACCTCTCTCGCTCTTCTCTCCTCTCTCTGACCCTCCTCTCTCTCTAACTCACCTCTTTCTCCTGTCTCTTCTCTCCTTTCTCTCTCTCCTCTCTCTCTGACTCACCTCTCTAGCTCTTCTCTCTCCCCTTTCTCCACTCCCCCCTGACTCACGGCTCTCTTCTCTCTCTCCTCTTTTCTCCTCTCTTCCTCACTCTCTCTTCTCAGTTTCACCCCGTCCACCACCATCAAGATTATTTTGCCACCAGCTCTAACTGACGCCAACATCTGTGTCCCCACCTTCTCTATAAGATCCCATTCCAACCACAGTACAGAGAACATGACTCCTCTCTCTGCTCGTTCTGCTTTCTCTGCTGTGATAAAGTCTGCTCTATCGTCTCTTACATTTGCTCATGTGGCAGATTACCACCGCAGTAAAAAAGCCATTATGATAGAGCTCCCATAGCTTTCTGTAATCACACAAATGGACTGAGTATGAATGAGTTTCCCAGCACCCGGTTTAATACGCCTGAGCCTAAAACACGGAGGCATTTTTTCTTTTAATCCACTGGTTATGAAAATAGAGAACCCGCTGCTGGGGAACCTGGAAGAAAGACAAACGATGACAACAATACTTCGCCCGCAGCTGCTGGGATTGAAGGCAGCGTTGAGAGGCTGTAATATAAAACATGTAGCATTAGAGGCTAACGTCGCGCTGCTAGCATGGACATGGACAAGATTGATTTCACATGTTCAGCAAATGACCTGCTCCCAGTTGGCGAAAGGGGGGTGTAATTATGAAAACAGCAAAGAAGTTAATTTGAAAATGGGAAACATAATATCAAACACATCATGTCGGAGAATGAGAAAAAAGGAGCTACGTAGAAACCAGTGCGATAAATCAAAACGGCTCATTGACTTTTTGGGCATTGCTTAATTTCAGCCATCACAATTACAAGTGCATCCAGCTGAATATGTGTAATAACAGAAGAGAAGACGCAATTTATTCAGGTTTATAGTGAAACATCTCCATGGCAACAAGCGATAGTGGACGACATCAGAAAATCATAATATCTTGGTTTTATACAGTGCCTTTTTGGACACTAAAGCTAAACAAAAGTGATAATTGTTTACTGTAGCCACAACTCTTCTTGGACGCACACACACACACACACACAATCCAAAGTGTGTCAGGTGTTTTGCCTATTCTTGGGTTTCATTAAACTGGCCTGTAGGGGGCGCATGAGCAGTCGTGGGACAGCTCAGTGTTGCTCCCATTGAAAACCATGTAAAGTCTGTTTTGGAGTCAAAACAAAACAGACTCTGTTTGTGCAGTGTGCGGTTGTAACAGTCTTAATCGGGGACACTCAATTCTAAAGGAGTACTAAAAAATATTTCTCAAAATAGTCTTGATTTTGGGGAAATTTTGGAAAGAAAAACAGAAGAAACTGCTGCGTTTCATCGGGGTGGCCTGCAGGGGGCGCTTATCTGGGAAAGCCTTGATCCACCTCGCCCGCCTCATTCCAGTGATTAAATCAAAGTGTCCTCCTTTATATGAGACCACAGTTGGAACATGAACAAACTCTTGTCTTTCTCTCTCTTTCACTTGTGCGGTTGCTACAAGCGTACACCGCACAAAAAGATGGCATTTTGACAGCGCTTCTTCTTCTACTAATATATCTCCGTGTATAAACCCGGCAGACTGCACCGCCAGGATACGTCACGTCCTGTCCTACGTTTGTTATTCGCACAACTGCCCTGACGTCATATGAAACCCAAGGATAGGACACAAGTTTGCCACTTTACAGCCGCTCCACTGTGACACCTGCTGTTCCCCATCACAGCACTAACCAGGCCCTACCCTGCTTAGCTTCGGACATCCGACAGGAACCGGCCTTCACACAAACACCACAGACAAATGCTGAAATCCATCTGACAGAAAAGAGAGAGTCCATATCACAGATGGACGAGAACCAGGAACCAGGAAGCTTATAGTACCATAAAGTGGCATCACATTTTTTACATGCAAGAACTAGAAAAGCCGTCTCCCGTGGTTACAATACAATACTTTGATACTTTAATACTTTTATAAAATACTTTAGGAAGCAGTGTGTGTTCTGTTAGTATCTCATTGCTTCTCTGAATAATAATAACATCTTAAAATATTATTATTTAGAAGGATTGCTGCAACTGATCCCCAAAGTACTGCTCCTTCAATGTCACTTTCCCGTCTCTCTCCTTCTCCCTCCTCTCCCCCCGTCTCCCCCGTCTCCCCCGTCTCCCCCTGCAGTCTGTGAGTTTGGTGTTTTCCACAGAGGAGGCAGCGCTCGTCTCTGCGGGGGGTGAGAGGGGGCGGGGGTTTTGCCGTTCTCTCTCACAGCACTCGTTGTGTTGCCGAGTCTTACAGCTATAATTCACTCTGCGATTACTCTGCGGGAAAACTCCACTCACCGCTGGGTTCGTTTGCATTGGCGCTAATGGCTTTTTTAATTACAGCCGTGGAGCGAGGAGGCCGCATCTCTGCCTCGCGATACACAGGTACACAACAGGTACACAACTGGAACACAACGGGTACACAACAGGTACACAACTGGAGAGAGAGGACTAACTCAAACAGTCAAAATATAGAAGATTCAATTTCAAACTTTGCAATGTAAAGGACACAGGGACTGGCCTCCTGCTGGGACTCTGAGGAGCACAGGGACTGGCCTCCTGCTGGGACTCTGAGGAGCACAGGGACTGGCCTCCTGCTGGGACTCTGAGGAGCACAGGGACTGGCCTCCTGCTGGGACTCTGAGGAGCACAGGGACTGGCCTCCTGCTGGGACTCTGAGGAGCACAGGGACTGGCCTCCTGCTGGGACTCTGAGGAGCACAGGGACTGGCCTCCTGCTGGGACTCTGAGGAGCACAGGGACTGGCCTCCTGCTGGGACTCTGAGGAGCACAGGGACTGGCCTCCTGCTGGGACTCTGAGGGGCACAGGGACTGGCCTCCTGCTGGGACTCTGAGGAGCACAGGGACTGGCCTCCTGCTGGGACTCTGAGGAGCACAGGGACTGGCCTCCTGCTGGGACTCTGAGGAGCACATGGACTGGCCTCCTGCTGGGACTCTGAGGAGCACAGGGACTGGCCTCCTGCTGGGACTCTGAGGAGCACAGGGACTGGCCTCCTGCTGGGACTCTGAGGAGCACAGGGACTGGCCTCCTGCTGGGACTCTGAGGAGCAAAGGGACTGGGTTCCTGCTGGGACTCTGAGGAGCACAGGGACTGGTCTCCTGCTGGGGCTCTGAGGAGCACAGGGACTGGTCTCCTGCTGGGACTCTGAGGAGCACAGGGACTGGTCTCCTGCTGGGGCTCTGAGGAGCACAGGGACTGGCCTCGTGCTGGGACTCTGAGGAGCACAGGGACTGGCCTCCTGCTGGGACTCTGAGGAGCACAGGGACTGGTCTCCTGCTGGGACTCTGAGGAGCACAGGGACTGGCCTCCTGCTGGGACTCTGAGGAGCACAGGGACTGGTCTCCTGCTGGGACTCTGAGGAGCACAGGGACTGGTCTCCTGCTGGTCCCAGAGTCAGGACTAAACATGAGGAGGCAGCGATTCAGATTTATGCAGCCAAAATCTTCCTGAAAATGTGAGACAGGTCTCTTCTTTGACAATGTTCAAATCCAGGTTAAAACAGTTCTGTTTCGCTGCAACAATTATTTTTTAACATACTGTGATTATTTATGATTTTGAAGCAGTGTGTGGTTGTTTCCATCTGGTTTTGTTCAGCACTTTTGGGTCGCCTTGTGTATGAAATGTGTTATACAAACAAACCTGCTTTGCCTAAAAGCTGGAAGACTAATGTGTTTTCCTTTGTCCTTAAAGGTGAACTTAAACTGTAATTCACTTTGGCAACAACTCATATTTTTGACCAAATGACCCATGTGTAGTAAGTAAGTAAGTCATCTTTATCTATGTAGCGCCTTTCACAGACCAGAGTCACAAAGCACTTTACAAATGCCATTTTTTAGGCCTTTTGTCTCTCACTCCACTAGGGGTGGGAACCTAAGGGTACCTCACGATACGATACGATACACGATACAAAGCTCACGATAACGATTTTATCACGATATGACGATTATTGATATATTGGTCAGAAATATACAATATGCCAATTTATGGCATAAATAAAATAAAAAATACTCTATTTCATGATAAATGGAATGGAGATGCGTAGTGTAGCCATATAATAAGTATTGATACCAATTAAAAAAAAAAAAAAAAAAAAGTAAAAAAAAATATGAAAATTGATATCGATACTTGGCAAATGCATATTGATAATCGAATCGCGGGAGAAAGTATCGCGATATAATCGATGTCATCAGTGTCATCAGTCTCATCATCATAGTCATCAGTCTCATCATCAGTCTAATCATCAGTGTCAGTCTCATCATCAGTCTCATCATCAGTCTCATCATCATCAGTCTCATCATCAGTCTCATCATCAGTCTCATCATCAGTCCCGTCATCAGTCTCATCATCAGTCCCGTCATCAGTCTCATCATCAGTCTCATCATCAGTCTCATCATCAGTGTCATCATCAGTGTCATCAGTCTCATCATCAGTTTCATCATCAGTCTCATCATCAGTGTCATCAGTCTCATCATCAGTCTCATCAGTCTCATCATCAGTCTCATTTTATCACGATATGACGATTATTGATATATTGGTAAGAAATATACAATATGCCAATTTATGGCATAAATAAAAGAAAAAATACTCTATTTCATGATAAATGGAATGGAGATGCGTAATGTAGCCATATATTAAGTATTGGTTCTCCTCAGGGTGGCTGCCTGTCTCCACTCCTGTACATTTTGTACACAGATCAGTGTCGAAGTCTGCATCAGGACAGACACATCTTGAAGTTTGCAGACGATTCAGTCATTGTGAGCCTGCTCTCTGGGGAGGAGCAGGGCCATGGACCTGTCCTTAATGACTTTGTGGAGTGGTGCGATGCCTCATTCCTGCACTTGAACATCTCAAAAACTAAGGACATGATTTTGGACTTCCGTAGGGCACCTCCAGCCCCCACGACCACTGTTATTAGGGGCATGGATGTTGAGCTTGTGGAGCAGTACAGGTATCTGGGGGTTATTGTGGACCACAGGCTGGGCTTTGAACCCTTGGTTGATGCAGTCTGTAAGAAAGTGCAGCAGAGAATGTACTTTCTTAGGCGCATGAACACTTTTAAGGTGTCGTCAGAAATGATGACCTTGTTTTATCGTTCTTTTATTGAATCTGTGTTTACATTTTGTATCACTGCATGGTTTGGAAGCCTATCCCAAGCAAACAAAAACAGACTTGGCAGTCTGGTTAAAGTGGCTAGTAAGGTGTCAGGGAGAACACAGGCTCAGCCCAAAGACCTGTACAGTGAGCAGGTGCTGAGGAAGACCAATTCTATCATTGGTTCTTTGGACCACCCCCCCTGAGGGAGCAGTTTGAACTTTTACCCTCAGGACGACGCTATAGGGCTCTTGGCTGTAGGACAAAACGGTTGGGAACAGCTGTGAAGCACCTTAACAGCACATAGCACTTTTACAAACCTTTGCGCTGAAAATTTGTTTTGTGACATTCTCTTTTGTTCTTGTTTTCTCAATGTTGTGATTTTACTGTATCTGCCTGTTTTTTTTAGATGATTTATGCTGCAAAACCAATTTCCCCTAGTGGGACAATAAAGACAACTTGAACTTGAACTTAAACTTGATACCAATTAAAAAAAAAAAAAAAGTAAAAAAAAAAATGAAAATTGATATCGATACTTGGCAAATGCATATTGATAATCGAATCGCGGGAGAAAGTATCGCGATATAAACGATATATCGTCACACCCCTACACTCCACACAAAGATGGAGCGAGGTCGCCATGCAGTACAGGAGGTGCATGCCAGACCTACTGAACATGTTGTTAGTGGTAGGGGAAACCGGGGCACCCAGAGGAAACCTACGCAGACACAGGGAGAACATGCAAACTCCACTCAGAAAGGCCCCAACCGAGTGCCATCCACTCAGCCACAGTAGAAGAAGAAGAATAGAAAAAAAAGAATAATAAAATCAGCGTGACTGGCTTTAAATGTCTCCATGTTTGTTTTTAGGGACCTGTGGCTAAAACTATCACACAGAGTAGTATTATTTGTGATAACGATGATAAAATATTTATTAAATTTGCTTCAGGAAAGTGTGATTCTTGCTCTAGTCTAGTTGTTTCTCTTCTGAAGTGCAGGACTGGCTCACTCTCTGTCTAGACTCACAATCTGAAAACCATCGCACTACATCAGAGAGAAGCAGAGGAGATAAGAGGGCTTTGATTCATCCCACAGGGGGAAATTCCAGTGTTGCAGCGCACGAATAGGACGGAAGTAAGAGCACAGAGAAAAGCTGAGGTGAATGCGTCTCAAATGGCTGTGATTGTACGGAGAAAGAATGAAAAATATAGACATTATGATAAATACGCAGCAGACTGAGGAGAAGTAACAATAACACAATCTGACAGGCCTCCGACAATGATTCAATCCACACCAACATTTTATAAATACTTCGGAGTGTGCTGTCAATCAAACTATTGCTCTGTCACTGACACGTCCTCGGCAGCCAATCACAGGTGAGCATTGTTACTCTCGAGCAAAACACTTCTCTCACTTCATCAAGAGGTGAATGTGTCTTTACAAACTCTATAACAGTATGTGGCTGTATTACACTGTCCTGGATCTACAGTCTCAGTCCTGGGTCTACAGCCTCAGTCCTGGATCTACAGCCTCAGTCCTGGGTCTACAGTCTCAGTCCTGGGTCTACAGTCTCAGTCCTGGATCTACAATCTCAGTCCTGGGTCTACAATCTCAGTCCTGGATCTACAGTCTCAGTCCTGGATCTACAGTCTCAGTCCTGGATCTGCAGCCTCAGTCCTGGGTCTACAGTCTCAGTCCTGGATCTACAGCCTCAGTCCTGGATCTACAGTCTCAGTCCTGGATCTACAATCTCAGTCCTGGGTCTACAATCTCAGTCCTGGATCTACAGTCTCAGTCCTGGATCTGCAGCCTCAGTCCTGGGTCTACAGCCTCAGTCCTTAATCTACAGCCTCAGTCCTGGGTCTGCAGCCTCAGTCCTGGGTCTACAGCCTCAGTCCTGGATCTACAGCCTCAGTCCTGGATCTACAGCCTCAGTCCTGGGTCTACAGCCACAGTCCTGGATCTACAGCCTCAGTCCTGGGTCTACAGCCACAGTCCTGGGTCTACAGCCACAGTCCTGGGTCAACAGCATTTCTGCTACACTGATCAACACAGAGAGCAGGTTGAAATGTCTTGTCTAAGAATCTACCATCACAGTACTAACCAGGTCCTGCCCTGCTTAGCTTCAGAGGTCTGATTCTCTGTACCACTGAGTCTGTTTTCATGTGTTGAAAGTCAGTGACCTCCAAACAATTCACATTTTGTGCCTGAAAAACGAGGTCATGTTTGGAAGTAATGGAACAAAAGAAAACCTCCTCCTGCAGCAGAGTTAGAGTTCTGTCCCTTTGAGCCGAGACGAGGATCATCAGTCTCATCATCAGTCTCATCAGTCTCATCATCAGTCTCATCATCAGTCTCATCAAGTCTCATCATCAGTCTCATCATCAGTCTCATCATCAGTCTCATCATCAGTCTCATCATCAGTCTCTTCAACAGTCTCATCATCAGTCTCATCAACAGTCTCATTACCAGTCTCATCATCAGTCTCATCATCAGTCCCATCATCAGTCCCATCATCAGTCTCATCAGTCTCATCAACAGTCTCATCATCAGTCTCATCAGTCTCATCATCAGTCTCATCATCAGTCTCATCAACAGTCCCATCATCAGTTTCATCATCCGTCTCATCAGTCTCATCATCAGTCTCCTCAGTCTCATCATCAGTCTCATCATCAGTGTCATCAACAGTCTCATCATCAGTCTCATCATCAGTGTCATCATCAGTGTCATCAACAGTCTCATCATCAGTCTCATCATCAGTCTTATCATCAGTCTCATCATCAGTCTCATCAGTCTCATCATCAGTCTCATCATCAGTCTCATCATCAGTCTCATCAGTAGTCTCATCATCAGTCTCATCATCAGTCTCATCAGTCTCATCAGTCTCATCATCAGTCTCATCATCAGTCTCATCATCAGTCTCATCAACAGTCTCATCATCAGTTTCATCATCCGTCTCATCATCAGTCTCCTCAGTCTCATCATCAGTCTCATCATCAGTCTCATCATCAGTGTCATCAACAGTCTCATCATCAGTCTCATCAGTCTCATCATCAGTCTTATCATCAGTCTCATCATCAGTCTTATCATCAGTCTCATCATCAGTCTCATCAGTCTCGTCATCAGTCTCGTCATCAGTCCCATCATCAGTCCCATCATCAGTCTCATCAGTCTCATCAACAGTCTCATCATCAGTCTCATCAGTCTCATCATCAGTCTCATCATCAGTCTCATCAACAGTCCCATCATCAGTTTCATCATCCGTCTCATCAGTCTCATCATCAGTCTCCTCAGTCTCATCATCAGTCTCATCATCAGTGTCATCAACAGTCTCATCATCAGTCTCATCATCAGTGTCATCATCAGTGTCATCAACAGTCTCATCATCAGTCTCATCATCAGTCTTATCATCAGTCTCATCATCAGTCTCATCAGTCTCATCATCAGTCTCATCATCAGTCTCATCATCAGTCTCATCAGTAGTCTCATCATCAGTCTCATCATCAGTCTCATCAGTCTCATCAGTCTCATCATCAGTCTCATCATCAGTCTCATCAACAGTCTCATCATCAGTTTCATCATCCGTCTCATCATCAGTCTCCTCAGTCTCATCATCAGTCTCATCATCAGTCTCATCATCAGTGTCATCAACAGTCTCATCATCAGTCTCATCAGTCTCATCATCAGTCTTATCATCAGTCTCATCATCAGTCTTATCATCAGTCTCATCATCAGTCTCATCAGTCTCGTCATCAGTCTCGTCATCAGTCTCATCATCAGTCTCATCATCAGTCTCATCAGTAGTCTCATCATCAGTCTCATCATCTGTCTCCTCAGTCTCATCAGTCTCATCATCAGTCTCATCATCAGTCTCATCATCAGTCTCATCAACAGTCTCATCATCAGTCTCATCATCAGTCTCATCCTCAGTCTCATCATCAGTCTCATCATCAGTCTCATCAGTCTCATCATCAGTCTCAACATTAGTCTCATCAGTCTCGTCATCAGTCTCATCAGTCTCATCATCAGTCTCATCATCAGTCTCATCAGTCTCATCATCAGTCTCATCATCAGTCTCATCATCAGTCTCATCAGTCTCATCATCAGTCTCATCATCATTCTTATCATCAGTCTCATCATCAGTCTCATCATCAGTCTCGTCATCAGTCTCGTCATCAGTCTCATCATCAGTCTCATCATCAGTGTCATCAGTCTCATCATCAGTCTCATCAGTCTCATCATCAGTCTCATCATCATTCTCATCAGTCTCATCATCAGTCTCAACATCAGTCTCATTAGTCTCATCATCAGTCTTATCATCAGTCTCATCAGTCTCATCATCAGTCTCATCATCAGTCTTATCATCAGTCTTATCACCAGTCTCATCATCAGTCTCATCATCAGTCTCATAATCAGTCTCATAATTAGTCTCATAATCACTCTCATCATCAGTCTCATCAGTCTCATCAGTCTCATCATCAGTCTCATCATCAGTCTCACCATCAGTCTCATCATCAGTCTCGTCATCAGTCTCGTCATCAGTCTCGTCATCAGTCTCATCATCAGTCTCATCATCAGTCTCATCATCAGTCTCATCATCAGTCTCATCAGTCTCATCATCAGTCTCATCGTCAGTCTCATCATCAGTCTCATCATCAGTCTCATCAGTCTCATCATCAGTCTAATCATCAGTTTCATCAGTCTCATCAGTCTAATCATCAGTCTCATCAGTCTCATCATCAGTCTCATCATCAGTCTCATCAGTCTCATCATCAGTCTCATCATCAGTCTCATCAGTGTCATCATCAGTCTCATCAGTCTAATCATCAGTCTCATCAGTCTCATCATCAGTCTCATCATCAGTCTCATCATCAGTCTCATCAGTCTCATCATCAGTCTCATCATCAGTCTCATCAGTGTCATCATCAGTCTCATCAGTCTCATCAGTCTCATCATCAGTCTCCATCAGGGTCTGGTAGAGTTCTGGAGGGGGAGTTTCCAACACTACACTACAATACGGTTTAACACACTCTCAGAGACTGTACCTGTGCTCCGAGACTAACTCATACTTGTGCTCATACTTTACATGTGCTCAGGCTGTACCTGTGCTCAGGCTGTAACTGCGTTCATACAGTACATGTGCTCAGACTGTACCTGTGCAGCTGTAGTCATCGATGCGGATGAAGCCTGTGTGGCAGATGCACATGAAGGAACCAGGTGTGTTCACGCACATGGTGTTCTCTCTGCAGTAGTGTTTGCCCTCAGCACACTCATCGATATCTGCAACACACAACACACAAGGTCAGGACGCACAACACACACAACACACAAGTTCATATAGACACACACATAGACACAGAGAGACACAGGTACATATAGACACAGAGACACACAGGTACTGTACATATAGACACAGAGAGACACAGGTACATATAGACACAGAGAGACACAGGTACATATAGACACAGAGAGACACAGGTACATATAGACACACAGGTACATATAGACAAAGAGACCCAGGTACATATAGACACAGAGATACACAGGTACATATAGACACAGAGAGACACAGGTACATATAGACACAGAGAGACACAGGTACATATAGACACAGAGAGACACACAGGTACATATAGACAAAGAGACACAGGTACATATAGACACAGAGAGACACAGGTACATATAGACACAGAGAGACACAGGTACATATAGACACAGAGGGACACAGGTACATATAGACACAGAGAGACACAGGTACATAAGAGAATAGCAGGACAGGAAGTCAAAGTAAAGTAAAAACGACACATAATCCAGACCAGAACAGGAGCCGCAGGTGGAACTGAGAAACTGTAATCTTTCACTATGTTTAATGAGTATTATGAACGCTGTTTCCATGGCGATGACTTGGAATCAGAACGACCTCGCTGTCATAACATCTGAGCGTAGTCTTCTCTACATTGGCCCAGATGTATAATTATAATCATTGTATTAGCCCAGATTGGTCACATACAGTTAGAGACTGAATTACACAGAGAAAAACAAACTCATACTGTATGTACTGAATGTTCAAGATTCATGAAGCTAAAATGTGGAATTACTATAAAATGGATGTGTATATTGAGTGCACTTATATAGTAATAATCGTTATGTATGTTTTTATGTTTTAGACCAATTTATACTTTTAAAATGTTTTATTATGACTTATTCTTTCCCTTATTACTTTTTTCAGATATTAGTTTGGAAACAAACTTTAAAACAGTCTGTACCAGAGAGAGAGAGACCCGAGAGAGAGACCAGAGAGAGACCAGGGAGAGACCAGGGAGAGAGGGACCAGAGAGACAATAGAGAGAGAGACCAGAGAGAGACCCCAGAGAGACCAGAGAGAGCGGGACCAGAGAGACAGCAGAGAGAGAGACCAGAGAGAGACACCAGAGAGACACCCGAGAGAGAGACCAGAGAGAGACACCAGAGAGACCAGAGAGAGTGGGACCAGAGAGACAGCAGAGAGAGAGACCAGAGAGAGACCAGAGAGAGACCAAAGAGAGAGACCAGAGAGAGAGACCCTGGAGAGAGACCAGAGAGAGATGCTAGACAAAAAATAAACAGAGAGATGGACCAGAGAGCAACCAGAGAGAGACCAGAGAGAAGGACCAGAGAGACCTGGGAGAGATCAGAGAGGGACCAGAGAAAGTTGCTGTGACTCCTGCTCACTGAACCATATATCGGTCTCTGTAATAACAGAAGGCTTTAGGAACGCTTCACATGTGGATCTTTGTTGGTTCATATCTCACCGTCTGTAATATTCAACTCTTTAATAACCGTTTCCACAGCAACGGCTATTTCTGGCTCTGATTAAAAAAAATGAGTCGAAATCAGCCGGGATAAACAAAATAATCTTGATAATGTGATGCAACCGGATGCAATTGAAAATAATAAGCAAAGAGAACAGATGTGGATTCGTGTTTGTGAGAGCGAGAAAGAGAGAAAGAGGAGAGAGAGAGAGAGAGAGAGAGTAGGGAGAGACCAGAGAGAGAGACCAGGGAGAGACCAGCGAGACCTGAGCGAGAGATCTAAGAGAGACCAGAGAAAGAACAGAGAAAGAGATCTGAGAGACCAAAGAGAGACCAGAGAGAGACCCGAGAGAGACCATAAAGAGACCAGAGAAAGACCTGAGAGAGACCAGAAAGAGACGAGAGAGAGACCTGAGAGAGACCTGAGAAAGACAAGAGCGAGACCTGAGAGAGACCAAAGCGAGAGAGACCTGAGAGAGACCAGAGAGAGACCAGAACTGCCCACTCCAGTCATAATCATTCAGGCCTCTGTATTAACCCCAATTCAAAGCTTGTTAAGTTCCTACAGTGTGCGTCTTGATTGGTTTCTCTGTGTGTATCTGTGTGTATTTGTGTGTAACCTTCCTGATCACAAAACCCCAAAACACAAGACTCTGAGACCACATCTCTGGCGTTTAAAGACGGGGACCGTGTTGGCGCCGATATCTCTGGTCAAACACGGCCCCTATCGGAGCGACAGGCCCCACGAGTCCTTGACATTACCCATTCATTACTCACGCTCTGCATTCACCCGCTGTACGAGAGCAGAGAAGCGTTCACCTCTCAATCTGCGCCGTTGCCAGATGCTTTTGCAAAGAGTACTTGATATTGAATTTCAATAGCTGTGCATTGGCATTCACCGCGCTCGCCTCGCCAACGTCCTTGGGTGGAGCAACACAGACAAGAAATGCGTCGAACTCTTTATTTTCTTTCTTTCTTTTTCCTTCTCAGAGTCAATACCACCTCAGCTGCCTCTGAAAAGCAGGAGGCTGAATGAGACACAATCATGGCCTGTTTGGAGAGCACGTGTCCTTGGGTGGATGAATAGAGGCTAATTAAAGTGGTCTCGAGCTTTGAGAATCGCAAGGTAAAGCAGAGACGGATGGAGACGGGAGGGCAAACAGCAGGGTGAAGCGCAGGGCAGGGGATAAAGAGTTATTTGGACTTGCATTTCCTTCGAGACAATGGAAGTATTCAAGTGTTTATGTGTGACTTATTGAGTCCGGTCATTTAAAACGAGACGCTTTTAATAACGGTAAAGCAAGGAAAGGCAATGGACAAGGACAGTACTTACGGTTGTGGATTTTGATAACGGCACGCGCCTAAACAAGCACCTTATGTTTTGTGTCAATGTGTCAATATTTATGAAAATTATGAAATATTTAATCATGAAATGGTTTATATCAAAGCGTTTTGATATGATGTGTGAGGGAGGTCATCGAGTTTAGTGCAAAACAATGGACAGTTGGAGCGTTCTCTCAGAGGAAGGGGGTCTCTCTTATCTCAGCGGGAACGAGACCCAAACCAGACCAGACTCGGGGACTGAAGCCCTCCGGATTCACCACATATGGAACCAAGATCAAGACCAAAAAGCATGGAAAAACGCAGCGCGGAAAAGGTGGGTACTTCCGAACCCGGCGAACACGTTTGCAGCACTTGAAGACTGTTCACAAGCACCGATTTATAGCCCTGGTATAATCCTGGTTTAGCTCATGTTTTTGGCCGGCGTGTGTCCCCAAGACCACTTTGTTGCTCTCTGATTGGTTGCCGCACGTGTCTGGAGCGAGGATGTTCAGTGAATATCATCTCCTGCTGTTGCTGCGTGCACCTCGCCGCTGAACTGTGCAGCCACAAGGCTTCTGCTGCGCAGGAGTAAAGTGCATACCGAGGCGTACATGCTATTCCTCGCATGGGCGGACGTCATCATTGACTTTGCATTGAAACTCGCCACAGCACGATCCGGTCTGAACACAGCTGTTGGTCGTCAAGGAGAACAATGCACGTGCATGTGGTGACGTAGGGACGAGGGTGGGGCTAACTCGCTCAGCTGGAAAGAAACTGCCAAAACGATCAAATGGCTTACTTCTGCTATAATTAGAATTTATCACAGTGCATGAGAAAGAGAAAAGAAAATAAAATCCCTCAGTTGTGTTCATAGCAAAACAGAACTGTTTTTATCCTGGATTGAACCTGTCCAGAGAAGAGACTTGTCTCACATTTTCAGGTTTTAGCTGCAAGAATCTGAAACGATGCCTCTCTGAAACGATGACTTTGGGGCCAGCAGGAGGCCAGTCCCTGTGCTCCTCAGAGTCCCAGCAGGAGGCCAGTCCCTGTGCTCCTCAGAGTCCCAGCAGGAGGCCAGTCCCTGTGCTCCTCAGAGTCCCAGCAGGAGGCCAGTCCCTGTGCTCATCAGAGTCCCAGCAGGAGGCCAGTCCCTGTGCTCCTCAGAGTCCCAGCAGGAGGCCAGTCCCTGTGCTCCTCAGAGTCCCAGCAGGAGGCCAGTCCCTGTGCTCCTCAGAGTCCCAGCAGGAGGCCAGTCCCTGTGCTCCTCAAAGTCCCAGCAGGAGGCCAGTCCCTGTGCTCCTCAGAGTCCCAGCAGGAGGCCAGTCCCTGTGCTCCTCAAAGTCCCAGCAGGAGGCCAGTCCCTGTGCTCCTCAAAGTCCCAGCAGGAGGCCAGTCCCTGTGCTCCTCAAAGTCCCAGAGATCACCCTGCTCCCTATGGACCAATGCCTCTAACGTGTTTGTTATTATTGCATTTCTGTGATTGAAAGTTGTATTCTCTGATTCTCCGAGACGACTGCTGTTTTGATTTGAATCGAGTTACTGTAAAAACCAAAATATTATAATTCCAATCTCCAAACGCTGTTACTCTGAAATGCCATCCGTTCTTGGTCATGTTTTCCTCCGAAGCAGAGCCGAGTCACGATGCTCTGAATGTCACTGGGCTAATTGGCAGCGACGGAAGAGCGCGGCCCGGTGGACAAAACCAATCAGCTTCTGTGTGAGCTGGCATAGGCCTCTAAGCTCCCACCTGCTGCTATCTCCACACACACACGCACACACACACACACACACACACACACACGCACACACACACACACAGACACACACACGCACTTGTTTACACACTAGCGACCCCTAACCCTGTTGAAATGTCACCCCAAACAGACAGCCCCTCTTCACAGACACAGGCAGCCAGCGTAAATAACATTGTACGTCGGTCCACTTCAAGATAAATCCACAAATGCAGAATGAACTGAGGCCTTTTGCTCCTCCTGGTCCCTCTGCTCCTCGTGGTCCTCCTGGTCCACTGTTTAAGGTAAGGACAACAGCAATCAAGACGGACGAACACACAGAGAGAGCAGTGAAATCACTAAACAAAGACACAAAGACCTCAAAGAAAAAGACAAAAAAACAACAAAAACAAAAGATTTTTCACATTCACACCAGAAGAGACCACAGAGAGATCAGAGCGAGAGACTAGAGAGAAACTAGAGAGAGACAAGAGAGAGACCAGATAGAGACCAGAGAAAGACTAGAGAGAGACAAGAGAAAGACCAGAGTGAGACCAGAGGGAAACCAGAAAGAGACCATTGAGAGACCAAAGAGAGAGGCCAGAGAGATGCTAGAGAGAGACCAGAGAAAGACCAGAGAGAGACCAGTGAGAGACCAGGGAGAGACTAGAGAAAGACAAGAGAGAGACCCGAGAGACACAAGAGATAGACCAGAAAGAGACCAGAGAGAGAGACCAGAGAGAGACAAGAGAGATTGAGACTAGAGAAAAACAGGAGTGAGACCAGAGAGAGACTAGAGAAAGACAAGAGAGATTGAGACCGGAGAAAAAACAGGAGAGAGACCAGAAAAGCTGACCTAAAGATCTGAAGCCAAACAAATGGGTTTAATATGAGCTGGTCTAAAACACAAAGTTAAAAGAGTTGATGAAGCTACTGCACATAAGCAAAGTTAATCTATACTAGAGTTTCGCTTTTCAGCCCAAGCCCGAGCAGGCCCGAGCCCGACCTGAGTTCGGGCCTGGCTCGGGCCTCATTTCCGCGCTCAGCTGTCGGGCCGTGCCGGGTTCCGGGTTTATTTTTTTTCTCTTATTTTTCTTTTTTATTATTATTATTATTATTATTAATTTTAAATGATTTTTATACATAATGATATGCATATATATATTAATAACAATGTCCGTTGATTGAAAACAAGTTATTAAAAAAGTTAATATATTAATGACACCGTAACCAGCGTGTCCTACAGCAGCAGCGAGCCGTGAACGCATCATCCCCGTGTCTCCTGCTGCTGTGGTCAACAGCGAACAGGAACAATATTAGAAATGGAAAAGTGGAGACAAAGCAAATTCAAAAGTGGAGCCTAAACTTGCAATTGGAAGGAGAGTGCGTACAACGGGAAATCAGATGTGTCGGGTTCTGTCGGGCTCGGGCCTGTTATACAGCGTTCATTGGTCGGGCTTATACGGGCTCGGGCTTAACATTAGCGGGCTCTGGCCGGGTCAGGCTTGATTTTTCAGGCCCGAACGAAACTCTAATCTATACCACTCATCTATACTGTGATCTAATCCACTTTTCATCTTTACTTTAGCTAATGCCCTCGTTAAACTAAAGAAAAAATGTTCCAATGGTCCCGTAACGTGGATTCCCTCCAGCTGTTATGTGGATTTTTGTGTGTGTGTGTGTGTGTGTGTGTAATTGTTTTGGTATTTGTGTGACTGTGATTCTTCTACAACAGCATCATATAAGCTGTAGTAAAACATGACAGTTACTTTTGCTTGGACTCAGAAGAAACATGTTGTGGCTGATGTGAACGTGGCGATTAGAGCAGAGGACTGTTGCAGGTGTTCTTGTAGCCTTCTGTCCTGCTCCTCTCTCTGGTCTCTCTCTCTGGTCTCTCTCTCTCTGGTCTCTCTCTGGTCTCTCTCTGGTCTCTCTCTGGTCTCTCTCTGGTCTCTCTCTCTGGTCTCTCTCTGGTCTCTCTCTGGTCTCTCTCTGGTCTCTCTCTGGTCTCTCTCTGGTCTCTCTCTGGTCTCTCTCTGGTCTCTCTCTGGTCTCTCTCTGGTCTCTCTTTCTGGTCTCTCTTTCTGGTCTCTCTTTCTGGTCTCTCTCTCTGGTCTCTCTCTGGTCTCTCTCTGGTCTCTCTCTGGTCTCTCTCTGGTCTCTCTCTGGTCTCTCTCTGGTCTCTCTCTGGTCTCTCTCTGGTCTCTCTTTCTGGTCTCTCTCTCTGGTCTCTTTCTGGTCTCTCTCTGGTCTCTCTCTGGTCTCTCTCTGGTCTCTCTCTGGTCTTTCTCTGGTCTTTCTCTGGTCTTTCTCTGGTCTTTCTCTCCGGTCTCTCTCCGGTCTCTCTCTGGTCTCTCTCTGGTCTCTCTCTGGTCTTTCTCTGGTCTTTCTCTCCGGTCTCTCTCCGGTCTCTCTCTGGTCTCTCTTTGGTCTCTCACTTTGGTCTCTCTTTGGTCTCTCTCTGGTCTCTCTCTCTGGTCTCTCTCTGGTCTTTCTCTGGTCTTTCTCTCCGGTCTCTCTCCGGTCTCTCTCTGGTCTCTCTTTGGTCTCTCACTTTGGTCTCTCTTTGGTCTCTCTCTGGTCTCTCTCTCTGGTCTCTCACTTTGGTCTCTCTCTCAAATCTCTCTCTGGCCCCTCTCTGATCTCTCTCTATGGTATCATTGGTTTCTCTCACTCTGGTTTCTCTCTGATTTCTCTAATCCCTCTCTGGTCTCTTTCTCTAGTCACTCTCTCTCCCTTTGTTCTCTCATTGGTCTCTCCATCACTGGTCTCCCTCTTCTTTCTCTGGTCTCTCCCTGCTCTCTCCATCACTGGACATCTCTCTCTCTCTCTCCCTTTGGTTTCTCACTGGTCTCTCTCTCTCCCTCTCTCTCTTGTCTCTCTACACTACAAGACCCACAATCCCTAACCTCTGCACCTTCTCTCATCTTCTCCACTCATAACGAAACACTCTCTCGCCCTCTACCTCACACACATTTGAAAGTTTCTCTCCCGCTACACCTTCATAACCTCTCTCTCTCTAAACCATTCAGACGTCCCATTATGTTTCCCTAAAACGCTCTGCAGCAGCTTGGCCAGTGCAGCAGACAGCGCACGCTCACTCATCAGAAACCAGGGGCTATTGTGGGAGAGCATTGTCTAAATACCAAACACTTCTGGTCATCAATCATGTGCGTCGGAGAGAAGCCTCTACCTGACCCACAACAATGGGGCTGACGTGGGCCTGGGCAGCGGGGGAACGGCAGCAGGACGTGATGGGCGGGTCCATTGTTTCTGCTGTATTAGTGAAGCCTCGGGGACAAACACTCAGACTCTGAATGGACCCAGAGAGAGAGACTTTGAGACGGAGTCGGAGCTGAAGACATGTCATTTTTTTTGCTACAGTGTTTGTGCTAAAATGTAGAGACAGTAAATGTGTGAACGGTGATTCCCCCAGCTTCCCCCATGTTTAAAGCTGGGGGAAGCTGATTATTTAAAATCTAAAATATCTCTGGAAAAGAACTACTGTTTTTCTACGTGGAGAGAAGCCTCGCTCTAGTCTCTCTCTCTTGTCTGTCTCTCTGGTCTCTATTTTTAGTCTCTCTCTCTTTTCTCTCTCTATAGTCTCTCTCTGGTCCCTCTATGGTCACTGTCTGGTCTTTCTGGTCTCCCACTGGTCTCTTACTGGTCGTTCTATCCCTCTGGTCACTCTCTCTGGTCTCTCGCTCTGGTTTCCTTTCTGGTGTCTGTCTCTGCTCTCTCTCTGGTCTCTTTCTGGTCTTTCTCTCTTTCCGGTCTTTCTCTCTTTCTGGTCTCTCCCTCTCTGGTCACTCTCTGGTGTCCCGCTGGTCTCTTTCTGGTATTTCTCTGGTCTCTCTCTCTGGTCTTTCTCTGGTCTCTCTCTGGTCTCTCTCTAGTCTCTCTCTCTGGTCTCTCTCTGGTCTCTCTCTGGTCTCTCTCTGGTTTCTCCTTCTCACTATACTTAGCCGTTTTGTGAATATTTTTGAGTTGCAGGGGAAACTGAAGCATTAGGCAGACACCTATGCCGACACAGGGAGAACATGCAAACGCCACAAAGAGCTTATAATACTTTGGTACATTTGACTTGACACTATGGAACCACAGGGAGAGGAGACCTGCAGGAGGACAGAGAGTTTTATGGAAGCAGTGAAACTGCTTCCATAAACATTAGGTTTGGCCGCCAAATTTTATTCACGCTGCCCCAGGGCGTCTACAGCGGCTGAGCTGGTGTATGGCTTTTACCGGCCGTGTTGGATTATAAACGCTGCCGTGTGTTAGGTTTTCTAAGGAGTCTGGATATAAATGTTTTAGTCACAGTTCATACTCACGTCACTGACTCATTCATTTTACTGCAAAAAAAAATCTGCCTTCACCCGATCTCAAATGAGTCCTGGTTCTACAGCCTCAGTCCTGGATCTACAGCCTCAGTCCTGGGTCTACAGCCTCAGTCCTGGATCTACAGCCTCAGTCCTGGATCTACAGCCTCAGTCCTGGATCTGCAGCCTCAGTCCTGGATCTACAGCCTCAGTCTTGGATCTACAGCCTCAGTCCTGGTTCTACAGCCTCAGTCCAGGGTCAACAACCTCAGTCCTGGATCTACAGCCTCAGTCCTGAGTCTACAGCCTCAGTCCTGAGTCTACAGCCTCAGTCCTGGTTCTACAGCCTCAGTCCTGGATCTACAGCCTCAGTCCTGGATCTGCAGCCTCAGTCCTGGATCTGCAGCCTCAGTCCTGGATCTACAGCCTCAGTCCAGGATCAACAGCCTCAGTCCTGGGTCTACAGCCTCAGTCCTGGATCTACAGCCTCAGTCCTGGATCTACAGCCTCAGTCTTGGATCTACAGCCTCAGTCCTGGATCTGCAGCCTCAGTCCTGGATCTACAGCCTCAGTCCTGGATCTACAGCCTCAGTCCTGGATCTGCAGCCTCAGTCCTGGATCTACAGCCTCAGTCCTGGGTCTACAGCCTCAGTCCTGAGTCTACAGCCTCAGTCCTGGATCTACAGCCTCAGTCCTGGATCATACTTAACCATACTTTTAACATAAAGTCAATACAGAAGTGATTCTTCCAAAATACATTCTCCTAAAAGTTTCCCTTCTACCCTACAGCGGCAGCAGGAGGTTCATTATGGATTTGTTCCATAACTTCAGAATTATTTTACTAAGACCAATTCACAGGTTGATAAATAGCGTCATGATTTTGGCGACAAACAGACAAATTAAATTCTTCTCAAACCACAACACCAAGTTCACAATTTATAAACTTTCTCGAGTCAAATTGAAAATCCAGTTCCAGTTTCAGCTCAATGTTTTCCCCTGAGGAGAGAGACTGTTCCAGGCCACAGCTGAGTCCACTTAGAGAAGCACCGAGCTGGGGATCTGTCCAGGAGTCATGGCAGAAGAATAAACAGCGATTTTAATGAGAGAAAAGGTTCAAATGGTTGTTATATGGCATCTAACTCTGTGTCTGATGTAGACTGAGGTCTCTAACTCTGTGTCTGATGTAGACTGAGGTCTCTAACTCTGTGTCTGATGTAGACTGAGGTCTCTAACTCTATGTCTGATCCAGAGTTAGACACAAAGACTGAGGTCTCTAACTCTGTGTCTGATGTAGACTGAGGTCTCTAACTCTATGTCTGATCCAGAGTTAGACACAAAGACTGAGGTCTCTAACTCTGTGTTTGATGTAGACTGAGGTCTCTAACTCTGTGTTTGATGTAGACTGAGGTCTCTAACTCTGTGTCTGATGCAGACTGAGGCCTTGGAAACATGAAATTACAAATTTATTCTACTCTACTCAACTCTACTCTACTTGCTAGTTTTAATGATTACAATTTAGGCCTCAGTCCTGGATCTACAGTCTCAGTCCTGGATCAACAGCCTGAGTACTGGATCAACAGCCTGAGTACTGGATCTACAGCCTGTCCATCCATAAGAGTAGATCCACCTCTCAAAATCGGCCTCCCTGAGGGTTCTCACTCTTTCCCACTGGGACACTGGATTGTGTTGTGTTCCACGTCTGTCTAAAGCGTCCTCACTGTAGCAGCCCGTGAGTCCGAAAGAAAACACATTAATCCTGAATCTCTGATAATTTATTGTCCCTGTAACTGTACGCAGTCTGCACAAACGCCTCGTCCAATCCCCACTTCATCACACATTAACGGGGCATTAATAAATCACCGGCTAATGCTGGACAGGGACAGGTCCGAGAGAGCGTGTGAGAGCCTTTTAAGCGCTAATCAAGACATATAGCAACCACCACTCGTAGCTATGACCATGATTAATTCACTTTTTATGCATTCCTGAGTCAAACGCACCGCTCTGCCGGCTGTCCATTGTGGAGACCGACCCCAGGCAGGACTCGACTCAGCGATAAAAGCTCGTGGTGTGGGTTCTATGACGGGCCAATCAGGAGAATGGACTGTGCTAATGGAGATGTATGTGAGCTTGGTGTTTGGCAACGGCCTCCTCTCGCCTCGTATTGTCTGCGTAGCGGCGCTGATGCTGATTGGCCGAAAGTGCGATGGATGTGATGTCATGGGAGGTTAATGGGCTTTAAATCAGGTGTCGGGCCAATCAGCTGTCAGCGCCCATCTGTGATCAAGGTTAGCGTCAGCAAGGACACGGCTCAAACTGCCTACGCCTATCTCCCATTCAAATCCATCTGAGAAAAGATTTTAGTTTTCCCACTACTTTTATCAAAATTAAGAAAGTTTTTTATAATACATGCTAAAACTGGTGAATACTGGAAAATTGCTGCAGTACAGTGTTCATGGTTTTGTACTGGTCCAGACCAGACCAGACAGGATTCATGGTCCGAACCAAGAGGATCAGGTGAAAATCCACTGGAGGAATGCTAACTTTTGGAAAAATGCTATTGTAGAATTTTACTTTGGACTAAAGCAGAGAAAATGGTCCGAACCAAGCTGCTGCTCCACCTGAAGGGCTGTTGCATTTTATTATTACTATTGTTATCTTTTTAGAATTATCAACTTTAGTTTTGCTACTACTGGACACCTGGATTTATCCAACGTGGATCAATAAATCTATCTATCTACTTGAGAAAAAGAGCAAAACTACATCCTGTATACTAACTGCTGACACTAGCACTTCCTTCAAGTTGAGATGATCCTGAACCATGCAGGACCAGTTCAAGACCAGTCCAAGTTCAGTCCAGGACCAGAACAAGCCAGTCTATAAAAAAGTGAGAAGCCTTTGGGAGTCCTATATTGAGAGGGATCTGCTTCAACAGATGGAAAGGATGTAGAACCAGGACTGAGGCTGTAGATCCAGGACTGAGGCTGTAGACCCAGGACTGAGGCTGCAGATCCAGGACTGAGGCTGTAGATCCAGGACTGAGGCTGTAGACCCAGGACTGAGGCTGCAGATCCAGGACTGAGGCTGCAGATCCAGGACTGAGGCTGCAGATCCAGGACTGAGGCTGTAGATCCAGGACTGAGGCTGTAGATCCAGGACTGAGGCTGTAGACCCAGGACTGAGGCTGTAGATCCAGGACTGAGGCTGTAGATCCAGGACTGAGGCTGTAGACCCAGGACTGAGGCTGTAGACCCAGGACTGAGGCTGTAGACCCAGGACTGAGGCTGTAGATCCAGGACTGAGGCTGTAGATCCAGGACTAGTTCTTTTACAGCACAACTAACCCAAATACTTTATATTGACTTCAGATTAATGTATTTAACTAAAATCCGTTCTAACAGATTGGGTCCAGATAAGGAGACGTGTTGTAGTTCATGCTTTGTCTCCCATTAACTTTAAATATTTAATGTGGCTGTGGCCGTGTCCAGGACCTGACCAGCGCAGTCACTTCTCTCAGATGTACACATGAATTATTTGTGCAATAATTGAGGGCATGATGTAGCTTTGTCAGTCTCAGAGGAAAAGACAAGTTTTCTCAGCAGTGAAGAAAAAGTGAGAGAGAGAGAGAGAGAGAGAGAGAGAGAGAGAGAGAGAGAGAGAGAGAGAGAGAGAGAGAGAGAGAGACCTCCTGCTGAGACTCGGTGGAGCACAGGGACTAGCCTCCCATTTCCTCTTTGATTCTCTGATCTGTCGTTTAATCTGATGAGAATCGACAACTTTGTAAAGTCCTCCCAGACGACCGCTGTAGTGATTTAAGGCTGAACACACACACATAGAATTGAGTGGTTGTATTCTTTAAAAGGACTGCCTTGTGCTGTAGGCTCCGGGTTCAGCGGAGGACACTCTGTCTCCTTTGGCGTCACACGACACCAGACGAGCGCGTGTTTTTGTGCCGAATCCTCAGAGTGAAAAGTAGGGCATTTCATAACAGCACAACAATGTGTCTGAGCCCGAAGCCGCGATGGAAAGAGGGATAATCTGCTCAAGTTCAACTACAAACGTATTTCAATCACAGACGGATTCACAAAGAGTCTACACAAAGACAGCTACACAAAGACTACACAACGACTACACAACGACACACAATCACAGTGATGGATTTAATATAATAATGGTTAAAAACATTCTTCCTGCCACACGTCAAGGCTCTGTCAGACATAAGACCAGAACCTCAGTCAGACGAGTGCTACAACACTGGAGCTGGTAATGAGAGGGGGAGAGAGGGGGGAGAGAGGAGTGAGAGGGGCGAGGAGAGAGGGGGGAGAGAGGGGAGAGAGAGGAGTGAGAGGGGAGAGGAGAGAGGGGGGAGAGAGGGAGAGAGAGAGGAGTGAGAGGGGAGAGGAGAGAGGGGGAGAGAGGGGAGAGAGAGGGAGTGAGAGGGGAGAGGAGAGAGGGGGGAGAGAGGGGAGAGAGAGGAGTGAGAGGGGAGAGGAGAGGGGGGGCAGAGAGGGGGAGAGAGAGGCGTGAGAGGGGGGAGAGGAGGGGAGAGGAGAGAGGGGAGAGAGGAGTGAGAGAGGGGAGAGGAGAGGGGGGGCAGCAGGGAGAGAGAGGAGAGAGGGGAGAGGAGAGAGGGGAGAGAGAGGAGTGAGCAGGGGGAGAGAGAGGAGGGGGAGAGAGAGGAGAGAGAGGCGTGAGAGGGGGAGATAGGAGGGGGGAGAGAGAGAACGTGAGAGGGAGAGAGGAGAGAGCGGGGGAGAAGAGGGGAGAGAGAGGGAGAGAGGGGAGAGGAGAGGGGGGGCAGAGGGGAGAGAGGAGAGAGGAGAGAGGGGAGAGGAGAGAGGGGAGAGGAGAGGAGTGAAGAGGGGGGGAGAGGAATGAGAGGGGAGAGAAGGGAGAGGAGAGGGGGGGGGGCAGAGGGGAGAGAGGAGAGAGGGGAGAGGAGAGAGGGGGGAGAGAGGGAGTGAGGGGGGAGAGAAGGGACGAGGAGAGGGGGGGCAGAGGGGAGAGAGGAGAGAGGGGAGAGGAGTGAGGGGGGAGAGAGGAATGAGACGGGGGAGAGAAGAGGGAGAGGCGAGAGGGGGGCAGAGAGGGGGAAGACGAGGCGAGCGGGGGGGGAATCGCGTGAGCGCTCGGCGCGCGGAGAGAGGGAGCGAGAGGGAGCGCGCGCCGGGGGGGGGCGCGAGGCGAGGGGGTGAGAGCGTGCGCGGGGGCGAGACAGAGGGCTAGCGCTGAGGGGACCCGAGCGATGCTGGGGGGCTCGCGGCTGCTATAATGCGAGAGGGGTGAGCGCTGTAGCGGCGAGCGGTGCGCGGGGCGCTGGATCCGCGACGCCGGCGGCGAGGAGGGGCTCGCGTGCGAGCGCGGGCCTCGGGGGGAGCGCGGGCGCGGCGCGGGGGGGCCCCGGGTGGGGCCTGCGCGCCGCGGGGAGCAGAGCGCGCGGGAGAGGGCTCTATGAGCGTAGGACCGCGCAGATGACGGGGGGCGCGGGCCAGAGGGGGGGCTCGCCCGCGAGCGCGCGGGCCGCGGGCTCGCTCGGGCTGGGGGGGCGCGCGGACGGCGGGGGCCGCGCGCGCGCGTGGCGAGCGGGGAGGGGCCGGCGGGGGCCAGGGGGGGGCGCGGGAGCCTCTCTGGCCTCAATAGTACTTTATCCCCAGTGTGTATGGAGCTCTAAACAGGTCTAAAACCAGGATCTATACCAGATCTAAACCAGGTCCAAACCAGGTCCAAACCAGGTCTAAACTAAGTCTAAAACCAGTTCTAAGCCAGGTTTAAACTACTTCTAAATTACGTCTAAAACAGGTCAAACCCAGGTCAAACCCAGGTCTAACCCAGGTCCAAACCATGTCCAAATCAGATCCAAACCAGGTCCAACCCAGGTCCAACCCAGGTCCAACCCAGGTCCAAACCAGGTCCAAACCCGGTCCAGTCTTCGGGACAGAGTACACAGTGTTCCTATTGCTCAGTTCTGGGACAGATTCTTTCCATCTTTTCCGTGAACTGTTGGAACTCCGCAGTAATGATGCACATACTGTATACTCTACAGCAGGACGAGTTCCCCCCCGCGCCTCCCCCCTCCTCCCCCTTCCTCCCCCTCGCACTCACTCGCCCTCCCCCTGTGTCTCCATCTACTTTCTCCCATGAAACATTTACACAGAGATGATCTCACAGTCTATTTCCAGCCTCTGTCTCTGCTCTGCTGTCCAGGGTCAGCGGCGGCCATGTTGGCGAGCGCAGATCTCCCGCTGACTCCCCCACAGCAGTCCCTCATCTCTCCCCTCGCAATGGGGGACTCTCCTCAACGCTTTTCCAACATCTCAGACAGCAGGAGAGAGGGTCTGGCTGGAGTCAAGAAGCAATACTGCTAAAATGTACCGTAACTATGGGGCTAAAGTGTATTTGTTATTATTATGTTGGATTCTCTGATCTCTTGATTTGCGAGTCCATAACTTTGTGAAGATTAGATTAGATTTGATTGAATTCAACTTTATTGTCATTACAACATCAGAACAATGCAACGAAATGCAGTTTAGAATCTATGTCTCTGGAGGAAAGGAGCCCAGAGAGGATTGTTGTGACCCTGAAAATGAGACTTCAGGATTTATTCATAAAACAACTTCAACAACAGAGTCTACCAGTGAGGAAAGGGGAGAGGGGCGAGTACGGCGCGAGAGGCCATCGCGCGGTAGCGGACGGCAGGTAGCGCGGTCGCGGCGGTCGCTCTGCGGCGTGGCCGCCGCACCTTCTGGCTACCGGTTCGCTGCGCTGCTCTCCTCGTCGGCTTTGGTACGCGTGGCTCTGCCTCTGACTCTGTCACGCTGTCGCGCTGCGCTAGGCTCCCGGCTCGCGTGAGCGCGCGTCGCGTGTGGAGCTCGCTGCTTCTGTGGCTCTTGGCGCTGCTGCTCTCTGTCGCGTGCTCTTTCTCTGGCTCGTGACTCCCTGCTCTCGGCGCTCTGCTCGCGGCGCGCGACGCTGCTCCCCTTCTTCCCTGTCTCTCTTTTGGCTCCTTACTTCTCGTTGTTGCGCTCTGTCGTGCTGTTTCTCGATTTTGCGGCATTTGTTTCCTCGCTGCCGGTGGTCCTCTTTCACTTTCGCTCTGTCGGCTGTGCTTCGTCGTCCCGCTTCTCCGTCCCGCGCTTGCGTGGGTGGTGTTCGTAGGTGTCTTGTCTGTCCTTTGGCTTGTGCCCGGATGTCGCGGCTGCCGTCGCTTCGGTTCTGCTGTCCTGCGCGTCGCGGCGTGCTGCGCTGGTTGGTTGAGAGAGAGGAGAGGGGAGAGGGGCGAGAGAGAGGGCGAGAGGAGAGGGGAGAGGAGAGGAGCGGGGGCGAGAGGGAGAGAGGTGAGAGGGGAGAGAGATAGAGGAGAGGGGAGAGAGATGAGAGAGGCGAGGGGATAGAGAGGACGATGAGGGGGGGAGAGAGGAGAGGGGAGGGGTGAGAGAGAGGAGAGAGGGAGAGGGGAGAGAGAGGAGGAGGGAGAAGTGAGGGTAGAGAGGGTGAGGGGGAGGGAGGGAGAGGAGGGAGAGAGGACGAGGGGGAGGTAGCGAGGAGAGAGGAGGAGAAGGAGAGTGAGGAGAGGGGAGAGAGGAGGGGAGGACGAGGGAGAGAGGAGAGCGCGGCGAGAGCGGGGAGGGGGGAGGATGAGAGGAGAGAGGAGAGGGGAAGAGAGAGAGAGATAGGAGAGAGAGGAGAGCGGAGAGAGGGAGAGAGATGAGGGGGAGAGAGGGAGGAGAAGGGACAAAGGAGGGGGAGAGGGAGGAGAGGGGGGATGGGAGAGAGGCGAGATGACGGAGAAGGGGGAGAGAGAGGAGAGGAGAGAGTGGCGAGAGAGAGAGAGGTTGTGAGTGAGAGAGGAGAGGAGAAGCGTGAGGGGAGAGAGAGCGGGAGAGGGGAGAGAGGAGAACGAGAGGAGAGGAGAGGAGGAGGAGAGGGGAGAGAGAGGAGGAGGGGACGAGTGAGGAGAGGAGAGGGGGAGAGGGAGAGAGGAGAGAGGAGAGGGGTAGGAGAGGCGAGGGGAGGAGGAGCGAGAGGAGAGGGGGAGAGAGGAGAGGAGGGAGAGAGGAGAGGGTGGGAGAGAGGAGAGAGGGCAGAGGAGAGAGGAAGGAGAGGACGGAGAGGGGAGAGGAGGATGTGAGGAGAGCGGACGAGAGCGAGAGGGCGAGGGAGCAGAGGAGCGGGGGAGGAGAGGAGGAGAGGAGAGGGGGGGAGAGTAGCGGAGAGAGAGGAGAGAGAGGATGAGAGGAGAGAGGAGAGGTTGAGGAGGAGGGGAGGAGAGGGAGAAGGGAGCGGGGGAGAAGGAGGAGTAGGGGGGGAGAGCGGAGAGAGAGAGAGAAGAGGGGAGCGAGAGGAGAGGAGATGAGAGATGAGAGAGGAGAGAGAGGTGCTGAGAGGAGAGAGCGGCGGTGATGGAGAGGAGAGATGACAGAAGAGGAGAAAGGTTGCAGAGAGGTGAGGGGGAGAGAGGAGAGAGTGGAGAGAGCCAGGATGAGGAGAGAGGGGAGGATGAGAGGGTGAGAGAGAGAAAGAGAGGAGCAGAGAGGAGCGGAGAGAGAGGATGAAGGGAGAGGGGAGAGCAGGCGAGGGGGGAGAGAGGAGAGATGAGAGGGGAGAGACGGGAGAGGAGAGAGAGGAGAGAGAGTGAGCGAAGAGAGGAGGGGAGAGGAGAGAGGAGAGAGGAGAGTGGAGAGGGGAGTGAGAGGAGAAGGGAGAGGGTGAGAGCGGAGAGGGGGGAAGAGAGGAGAGCTGAGAGTGGAGCGGTGGAGGCGAGAAGGAGGAGAGAGGAGAGAGAGGAGAGCAGAGAGAGTGTGAAGAGGAGAGAAGAGAGAAGGGGAGAGAGGAGAGTTGAGTGATAGGAGAAGGGGGAGAGCAAGGAGGAGAGAGGGAGAGGAGTGAGGAGAGAGGAGGACAAGGAGGCGGAGAGAGGGGAGGAGAGGAGGAGAGGTGAGGAGAGGAGAGTGGAGAGATAGGAGCGAGGAGAGAGGATGAGAGGGGGGAAAGCGAGGACAGGAGTGAAGGAGAAAGGAGTGAGGAGAGGGCTGAGAGAGAGGAGAAGGGAGAGGGGAGAGAGGACGAGGGGGGAGAGAGGAGAGAGCTGAGAGAGAAGAGGGGAGAGAGAGGAGAGGAGAGTAGAGGAGAGGGATGAGAGAGGTGGAGAGAGGAGAGAAGCGAGAGGGAGAGAGAGGAGAGATGACAGCGAGGACGAAACGGTGAGAGAGGAGAGGAGAGAGAGGAGAGAGAGGAGTGAGGAGAGGACGAGAGGGGAAGATGAGATGGGAGGAGAGTAGGAGAGGGAGAGTGGATGAGGAGAGAGAGGAAAGCAGGGAGAGGGGGAGTGAGAGAGGAGAGGGGGTGGGAGAGAGGAGAGATGATGAGGGGGAGAGAAAGGAGAGGAGAGAGAGGGACAGAGGAGTGAGAGGAGAGAGAGAGAGGTGAGAGGAGAGAGGAGAAGAGGAGAGGGGAGAGAGAGGAGAAGGGAGATGTGAGAGAGGAGAGGGGGGGAGAAGAGGATGAGATGAGAGTGGAGAGGGGAGAGAGAGGAGGCGAGGAGTGCGAGGCGTGAAGAGGAGAGGTGAGAGGGAGAGAAGAGAGGGAGGAGCGAGGAGAGATGAGAGATAGGAGAGGGGAGAGAGAAGCGAGGAAGAGCGGGAGAGCGGGGAAGAAGAAGGAGAGGAGAGAGAGGAGAGAGGTGAGAGGTGCGAGCAAGAAGAGGAGAGATAGGAGTAGAGGGAAAGAGGAGAGAAGTGAGAGAGGAGACAGGAGAGAGAGGAGCGAAAGGAAAGAACAGAGGAGAGAAATAAGAGAGGGGAGAGAAGAGAGCAGAGAGGAGAGACAGGAGAGAGGGGAGAGAGAAAAAGGACAGAGGAGAGAAGAGAAAGAGGAATGGAGAGAGAAGACAGAAGAGAGAAAAGAGAAAGGAAAATAGAGAAAAGAGAGGGAGGGAATAACAGAAGAGAAGAAGAGAGGAGACAGAATCTATATCCTGATAGTTTCCTCTTCTCTCCTGCTGCAGCTGCTCAGACGGTTGTGTGCACTTCAGCTTCTGTAAAAACCATTTTAGGGCTGCTCTCTGTCTGTAAAAGTCCCTCCATCCTCGCTGTTCGCAGCTTAAGCTACATGGCTCTGGTACAAAGGCCTATTGTAGAGCGTCATTACTGCGGAGACCAAACACTGGAGCTTTTGTCCACTCAGGGCCCGGCCGCCGCAGAAGATGAACAATCTGTCGGCATCAGAGAATGGAGACAGGTCCAGGGTTCTCACACGGGAACGCTTCTCTGCAAATTTAGACAACTTTGGGAGTCTGTGAGCTCGAGGTGTAGCCAGGGAGAGAGGAGAAGGGAGAGGGGAGAGAGGAGAGGTGAGAGAGGAGAGGTGAGAGAGGAGAGGGGAGAGGGGAGAGAGGAGAGGGGAGAGAGGAGAAGGGAGAGAGGAGAGGTGAGAGGCGAGAGAGGAGAGGGGAGAGAGAGAGAGACGAGTGAGAGGAGAGAGAGGAGAGAGAGGAGAGGGGAGAGGGGAGGGGAGAGAGGAGATGGAAGGAGCGATGAGAGAGAGAGGAGAGGAGAGTGGAGAGGAGAGAAAAGAGGAGAGGGGGAGAAAAGAGTAGAGAAGACAAGAGAGAGCAGAGAGAGTAGAAGAGAAGAGAGAGAATAGAGGAAAGAGCAGTGCAGAGATGGGAGAGAAAGAGGAGCAGTGAGAGGAGAGGAGCAGAGAGAGGAGAGAGCAGTGAGAGGAGAGAGAGCAGTGAGAGGAGAGAGAGCAGTGAGAGGAGAGAGAGCAGTGAGAGGAGAGAGCAGTGAGAGGAGAGAGAGCAGTGAGAGGAGAGAGCAGTGAGAGGAGAGAGAGCAGTGAGAGGAGAGAGAGCAGTGAGAGGAGAGAGAGCAGTGAGAGGAGAGAGAGCAGTGAGAGGAGAGAGAGCAGCGAGAGGAGAGAGAGCAGTGAGAGGAGAGAGAGCAGTGAGAGGAGAGAGAGCAGTGAGAGGAGAGAGAGCAGTGAGAGGAGAGAGAGCAGTGAGGAGAGAGAGGTGAGAGAGAGAGAGTGAGAGAGGAGAGAGAGCAGTGAGAGGAGAGAGAGCAGTGAGAGGAGAGGAGAGCAGCATGAGAGGAGAGAGAGCAGAGAGAGAGAGAGAGAGAGTAGAGCAGTGAGAGAGAGAGAGCAGTGAGAGGAGAGAGAGCAGTGAGAGGAGAGAGAGCAGTGAGAGGAGAGAGAGCAGTGAGAGGAGAGAGAGCAGTGAGAGGAGAGAGAGCAGTGAGAGGAGAGAGAGCAGTGAGAGGAGAGAGAGCAGCGAGAGGAGAGAGAGCAGTGAGAGGAGAGAGAGCAGTGAGAGGAGAGAGAGCAGTGAGAGGAGAGAGAGCAGTGAGAGGAGAGAGAGCAGTGAGAGGAGAGAGAGCAGTGAGAGGAGAGAGAGCAGTGAGAGGAGAGAGAGTAGAGTGAGAGGAGAGAGAGCAGTGAGAGGAGAGAGAGCAGTGAGAGGAGAGAGAGAGCAGTGAGAGGAGCGAGAGCAGTGAGAGGAGAGAGAGCAGTGAGAGGAGAGAGAGCAGTGAGAGGAGAGAGAGAGAGTAGAGCAGTGAGAGAGTAGAGCAGTGAGAGGAGAGAGAGCAGTGAGAGGAGAGAGAGAGAGAGTAGAGCAGTGAGAGAGTAGAGCAGTGAGAGGAGAGAGAGCAGTGAGAGGAGAGAGAGCAGTGAGAGGAGAGAGATATTGAACTCGTTGGAGAAATGTAGTAACAATAGTAAAACCTGTCTCAGCAGGAGGTCAGTCTCACATCAGCTGAGGTTATGAAACGTTTCATTAGCGACTGCAGAGAGCTGTATTTAAGTCTGTTCCACACCTTCCACACACACACACACACACACACACACACACACACACACACACACACACACACACACACACACACACACACACACACACACACACACACACACACACACACACACACACACACACACACACACACACACACACACACACACACACACACACACACACACACCTCGGTCTCTCTCTTCAGCCACACCACAATGTAACAACAACTCAGCCTCGGCGTTAACCACTCAGCTAATGGAGTGGGTTATGTAAGGTCTGACCGTTAATCGAATTGAACAATTTGAAATCTGTAAAAGAGAGAGAGGAGAGAGGGGAGAGGAGAGAGGAGAGGGGAGAGGAGAAGGGAGAGGAGAGGAGAGAGGGGAAGGAGGAGAGAGGAGAGGTGAGAGAGGAGAAAGGAGGGAGGAGAGGAGAGAGAGGAGAGAGGAGAGAAGAGAGGAGAGAGGAGAGAGGAAGGGAGGAAACAAGAGAGGAGAGGAGAGGAGAGGAGAGAGGTTTAGATTACTTTTCAATGTAAGTCAATAGGAGCCAGAGCGAGTTGGATCCAAAACTTCGTCCATGAGCACTTCCCTATGGGGCTTCATCCAATCCAGACCACTGCAGTGAGAAACCAGCTCACACATCGTACGACGGGGTTAATGTCTTTCCGTCACTTTGACTTTGATCAACAGTGTTTCAAAGGCACAAAGCTTTAGCACTAATTTGTGGACTCGCCGCCCGTTTTTAAAGCACATGTCCGTGTTTCTGAAGCCTCGCACACATCCGCAGACAGGAGCCACACACGGAGGAGATCAAGAGGAGCTAAATTGGCCGGACGCCCGAACGAACCGCGAGGCCTTTGAAGCCGGGTCCTCATTAACACCAGGCCACAGCCGCTTGGTCTGCTCCTGCCTGTCCTCACCTAGAATTAGTATTTTTTAGCATTATTTTATGTTATTTTTTACATGATGGTTGTGGATGAGCTAAAGCTATAGTCTTTTTTTTTTTTTTCTCATTCTACAAGTTGAGTTCAATCCAATTTATTTGTGTTTAGCCCTAAATCAGAACAGCGGTCTTTACAAAGCTGTCAATTCACAGACAATACTTGATCACTGGTGGTGGAAAAGGGAGAGGAGAGGAGAGAGGAGAGAGGAGAGGAGAGAGAAGAGAGAGAGGAGAGACGAGAGAGGAGAGGAGAGAGAGGAAAAGAGAGGAGAGAGGAGAGAGAGACGAGAGAGGAAAAAGGAGACAGGAGAGAGTGGAGAGAAGAGAGGAGAGAGAGAAGAGACGGAAGAAAAAAGGAGAGAGAAGAAAGGAGAAAGGAGAGAGAAGAAAGGAGAAAGGAGAGAGGAGAGATGAGAGACGAGAGAGGAGAAAAGAAAGAGGAGAGCAGAGAGAGGTGAGAAGAGAGATGGAAGAGAAGAGGAGAGAGAAGATAAAAGAGAGGAGAAGAGGAGAAAGAAGAGAGCGATGAGAGAGAAGAGAGAGAGAAGGGACAAGAGAGAGGAGAGAGGAGAGAAGAAGAGAGGAGAGAAGAGGAGAGAGAGAGAGAGAGAGAGAGAGGAGAGACGGAGAGGAGAGAGGAGAGGAGAGAGAGAAGAGACGGAAGAAAAAAGGAGAGAGAAGAAAGGAGAGAGGAGAGATGAGAGAAGAGAGGAGAGAGAGGAGAAAAGAAAGTGGAGAGCAGAGAGAGGTGAGAAGAGATATGGAAGAGAAGAGGAGAGAGAAGATAGAAGAGAGGAGAAGAGGAGAAAGAAGAGAGCGATGAGAGAGAAGAGAGGAGAGAGAGAAGGGACAAGAGAGAGGAGAGAGGAGAGAAGAAGAGAGGAGAGAAGAGGAGAGAGAGAGAGAGAGAGAGAGAGAGGAGAGACGGAGAGAGGAGAGAGGAGAGGAGAGAGAGAAGAGGATAGAGGAGAGGAGAGAGAGAAGAGACGGAAGAAAAAAGTAGAGAGAAGAAAGGAGAGAGGAGAGAGGAGAGAAGAGAGACAGAAGAGAAGAGGAGAAGATAAAAGAGAGGAGAAGAGAGGAGAAAGAAGAGAGAGATAAGAGAGGAGAGAGAGGAGGGACAAGAGAGAGGAGAAAGGAGAGAAGAAGAGAGGAGAGAGAAGAGGAGAGAGAAGAGAGAAGAGGAGAGAGGAGAAGAGAGAGAGAGGAGAGAGAGAGAAAAGAATAGAGGAGAGGAGAGAGGAGAGAGAAGAGGTGAGAGGGGAGAGAAGTCAAGGGAGGAGAGAGAAGAGAGTAGAGGGATGAGAAGAGGAGGGAGGAGAGAGAGAGAAAAGAAGAGAGAGAGGAGAGAGAGGATACAGGTACACACACACTCAGAATGGAACCACAATTCAGTAGCCGACCACACCACCATTTTGAGATTTTTTGGACAGCTACCTTTTTTTTTCAGAAATTGGATGTGAAACAACCAGAAGGTGGAGCCCTGATAAATAAAATCAATAACAAGAATAGATAAAAGACAAATATTTACGGAAACTACTTTGGTGCCTAACCCTACTACAGTATTAAAACAGGCTAGTTCTGCATAATTATCATTCTTAATCATTCATCATTCTTAATAACGTCTAAATAACCACAATGGTCTCGGGACAGACTTCAGCACCATGGACAGCTCCTCCAGCCCGCAGACTTCACCGAGCTGCACGACCGCATCAGAAATAGACCATAAAAAAACATACAATACATTAGCCTTAAGTTTTAAAGTCACGACGACATATTTACAAGCAGCAAAGCCACAAAAGACTCTGAATAATGGACTGAGGAAAGTAATTATTCTGTGGACACAAACAATAGCGGATTAGAGTCTGCTACGGAGAAGGATTAGACGATAACACAGCGTTCAGCAGTTTCTCTCTTTGGGAAATCGAAGAGTTATTTGTCTTGTTGTATCTGCAAAACCAAACCGTAACTAACGAGCAATGGTACAAAAGATGAAGCCGTTGTGAGTGACTGCGGACAATAAACACCAAAACAAAGAACAACAAAAGATTAAAATGATCAAAGAGATTCACAACATAAAAGTATTACAGCCTAAGAAGTAGGTACGACCAGAGTCACACATTACTTTACAGTATTTGTGGGTATTTGCGTCATGGTGGCAAAAAGAAATGAAGCCAAAAGTGCGGAACTACAAAAGAAATGGAAGTAATAAAATGTTTTTAAAAGTCCTGATGATCCAAGATGGCGTCCTGTTGTAAATTTTGTCTTTGTGAGATCAATAAAGTTAATCTCATCTGATATTTTCTTATCTCCAAATCACTGGCTGGTGCTCAGTAGCGCAGGAGACAGACGTGGGGAAGCGAAAGAATAGCAGGAACTCGCCCATATTTGGGCATTGTCTGGTTCTGCGCAGTGGCTCCCACGATGCATTGCGCAAAATACGTGTGCGCTAGGGATGTAAAAAACTATGAATTTTCATGACCGACCACCGAGCCTCATTAACCGGTTGAAACCGGTTAACTGCGTAGTTTAAAATAGTCCACGTTCTTTGAAATAACAGCCATTTCGAACCACGTACTTTTCATAAGTGCAGCTGAGCGTTCTACGGGATCAGAGCCGAGACAGCGGCGCCAAAACCCGCAACAGCTTCGGCACCTTTGCGCACAGAGAACTGCTGTTTTAATCTTCCCATTCTGCTGTGCTGCGGCTTAAAGCATTTTTAAGCAAAAGACAGTTCGTCCACATGGTCAGGGCAGCGAGTGACGAGCCGCGTCTCGCAGGTCTCCGCTAAAGTTTAAAAGTGATCAGTGTGGAGCTGATGCCAAGGACCAGCAGCACAAACATGGTCCATGTGGTTTGACTGGAGCCGTGTATTTGCAAGAATGCTTTGGGCTCCGTGACACAGAGGAGCGCGACAGACCGGTATGTGTGTGTGCAATACATGTATGTGTGTGTGTATATGTAAGCTATGTGTGTGTGTGCAATACATGTACAGTAGGTCCCATTTCGTTTTGTCGTCTTCATTCACGCTTTTCATGAATCACGCAGCTGCGTGAAACATATTACATCCTATCGCCACAAGGTGGAAGGTTAAGTCCGCTTTAGCTCTGCCAGCGACTTAAACGCTCAGGTATAAGACTGAAAAAGAGCTAAAAAAGGTCTTGTTATGACTCTCAAATCATTAATGACAAAACAAAGACTAAAACGAGGATTTATATCGGGATGCCTTTGAACAATTGAGACAGCTGATAAAAGTTCACGTGTGATGCAGAATTTTCTAGTTTGAGTCCGTTCTTCACAGCATCTCTGCTCGTGTGAATCGGTGGTCTAGAGGTCTAAGCTGTGCGCTTACAATGCAGGAACCCGGGTTCGATCCCGGGCTATGTCTTTTTGTATTTATTGCATGTTATCACATTCTATGACAGATTGCTCTAAAAACGGTAAAAGATGAAGGTCAAGACGTTTTTTTGCAGATTATAGCTTAATTGTAAAAATAATCATTTAAGACCACATGTACCCCAATTAAAATAATGTTAGTCTCTTTTTGATGTCTTTTTGAGTTTAACTTTAACAAAAGTTGCTTAAAAGTGTTATGAAATCTCACAGGGAGAGTGGGAGAGGACTACAAAATATTGACTGTGACTGCAGTACCACTTTTGGCCAGATTTGTACATATTGTTCCTTTAAGTCATCTTTTATTTGAGAACAATCACTGCATGAAAAGTGTGATTTTCGTCTCTTTTCGGCCCTGTATATTACTGTGAAACTTCTGGGATTCGGCTGTTGACGGTAGTTTGTTGTCCCCTCCTCCCTCCTCCACAGGAGGCTTTAACATGTAAATGGCAATGCTGTGAGCTATACAAATGCTAATCAGGGTTGAGGGGGTGCACAACTTGGTCAGGTCAGCACACTGTAGACCCGGATTTTGTAAATGCTCAAACTGTTTACACACACACACACACACACACACACGCACATAGAGAAATATTTCATCATATATATTATATTATAGCTTGTCATGTCAAAATCAATTAAATAAATCCAATAGGACAAAAGACATGTTGAAAGTGTAAGTGCTCATCAAAGGATATATGTATGTACAGTACAGACCAAAAGTTTGGATTTTGTCTTTTTTTTCATGACTATGAACATGTACCAAGTTTATGTGTTTTTGAAGTATTGAGTTATGATGTTATGTACACGAGTGTACACTGTATTCTGAATACTTTTACTTTGATTAGCAATATATAGGCTTTACAAAAATGTAAACTACACATGTTACATATAGCTACCATTAATTAGGAATTCTAAAATGCACAGGAGTAGCAGATCATATGGCAAACATTTGCATGAACTTGCATATAAGGCATTTTAAGCGTCCCGCACATACGCACGGCTCATTCACTCAGCGGTCTTTCGTATTAGATCCTGGGTTGTCTCCAGCGCCTGTGTGGCGTAGTAGGATTGTCCAAGACTTTCGCTTGGACTTCGGAGTTTTTATTAGCGGGGGGAGTATATGAATCAGATTACTCCGTTACTGAATAACGTTGAATTTTTTTCCTGCAGTTTGGTTGGTGCAGATTATGAAGTTTACAACAGTTTACTACAGTCTAGCAACTATTTTAAATGTGTTGGCCTAATTACTAAGTATGTTTTAGAAAAAATGTAAACGTCAACAAAATCAAAAGTGTCATAGACTGTACTTGAACCCGAGTCCTCTCACACCAGAGTCCACCGCCTTATCATTGAGCTATAAAGCCACAGAAAGTTGTCCGGTGAACAGAGAACAAAGACCGATGAGAAGCATATTTTCCTAACCCTGCTCACAAGTGCCACCTGGTGGTTGTTTGGGTCATTGCAGCATCACTGGGGAAAAAATAAATAAAAGACGCATGAATCACACGTGAGTCTCGTGTGATTCACGCGTGAAAGGCGACAAAACGAAATGGGACCTACTGTATGTATGTGTGTGTAAATATAAGCTCCAATGTAGTTCTGACCCGCACCAGTGTGCAACTAGCAGGCGGTAACAGAGGGGAGAGATGATGCGTGTGGATGTTACGTGTCAATGGAGGGGGGGGAAATGTGTGTGTGTGTGTGTGTGTACATGTGTGTGTGCATATGTGGCGCGTACGCCGTGAGAGTCGGCCCGGAGTTTACTGTTACATTGGCGCACACAGCTAGATAGGGACCCGCTCGTCACATCGTGCAAATAGGGCTTAAAATAGCGTTATGAAGAGACTTCCCCTCTCCCCCTTTTCTCTTTTTTAACCGACAGCTTTGACTGGTTAACGCTGTGACGGTCAACCACCGGTTAAACGGTCACCGATTTACATCCCTAGTGTGCGCACTTCATTTTGGCCACTTTTGAGCTAGGACCCGCCCACACTGGTTCTATGGGACTTTCTTCTGGGTAGCCCATGTGAATTTAGTCTGCAGTATCACAGCGCCCCCTGTGCCCATGGGTGGGACAGCAATAAGCTAGTACTACTCTATCCAGTTATTATTATAGATCCATGGTTTAAATACACAAGACGAGACATAGGTGACACCCATGAGGGCGGGGCAGGTATCAGAAACAGGAAGTAGAACTAAAGATACCGGGGTAGCAAATTACAAAATAAAACGATATACCTAAACCACAACGATTTGTCTCAGGGGTCTTCATACAGGAGCCAAATGCCAGATCTATTGTGCATGTTTTTAGTGGTAGGGGAAACCGTAGCACCTGGAGGAAACCTACACAGACACAGGGAGAACATACAAACTCCACGCAGCAAGGCCTGAAAGTGGAATCGAACCCAGGACGTGCCGCACACTATCTCGACCTTATTACACTATGCAGACAATAAACAAAAACAAAGTAATGCAAAAAGTACAATTTGTAGTAGTGCGAATACTGCGAATACTGCAAATACTGCAAAAGGTAGAAGTACCAAAAGTAATGCAAAAACTATTATAAAAACGGCAAACAAAATAAGTTTCCATAGAAGTCAATGGAAAGGTTTAAACAATAAAAATATCTAAAACATAACATTAAAGACAAAAGAATAGGAAAAAGTACAGCATGAAGTACAAATATCTCAAATACTACAAAAGATACACACACCAGAAGTTCCACACCTGAGACGATCAAACCAAACAAGGTACAACACAAATTGATTAAAGAGTTGTAAACACGCAGAAATCTGGCACAAGAAGAAGAAGCTGGAATCAAAACTACACTGCAAAAAGTAATTAAAAACAAGATTTTAAAAAATTCTTCAATTTGGCTGAAAGTATCTTAATTGAAGCACATTCTGACTGAGCCTTAAAACAAGATATGCAAATGAAACGAAGCAAAATGATCGAATTTTAACTGGACTAACTGGATTTGTCCCATTGAAGAATCTTGTTTACAGTCAGAATGAACCCAAATTAAGACAATAAAACACCTAATCCAAGCTATTTTACCCCATATTTGATCCTTTTTACAGTGTAGAAGGACAGACAGTGACTTAAATGATGATAACGTCTTGTAAACTCATTTAAAGAGGTTTGACATTAAAGCTTTCTCCGGTTTCTCTGGTCCAGCTTTTACTGCTTCCCATTTTTGAGGCGTAAAGCTGAAGGTTAAAGGTCACAGGGGTCTCTCTCTCACCTTCGCAGTAGGCGTTGTCGTCTCTCAGAGGTCTGAAGCCATCTTTGCAGACGCAGCAGTCTCCGGCCTCAAGGTTCACACAGTCAGAGTGCTCCAGGCAACTGTGGCCCTCGGAGCAGAAGTCATGACCTGCAGGGGGCGACAGAGAGGGGAGGTCAGAGACATGAGAGAGAGAGGAGAGAGAAGAGGAGGAGAGAGCGGAGAGATATGAGAGAGACGAAAGGAGAGAGGAGAGAGGAGAGAGAGGGAGGAGAGAGAGAGGAGAGGAGAGAGAGAGGTCAGGGACATGGGAGAGAGGAGAGAGAGAAGAGAGGAAAGGAGAGAGAGGGGAGAGAGAGGAGAGGGGGGAAGGGGAGGGAGAGAGGAGAGAGAGAGTAGAGAAGTGATACCGGCTGTGATCACGGGCTGTAAAAGGAATCTATGGAAATAACTTTCTGGAAAGTTGAAACTAAAACCCAGTGGGAGGGTTTGACACAAGTCTCAGTCCTGGGTCTACAGCCTCAGTCCTGGGTCTACAGCCTTAGTCCTGGATCTACAGCCTCAGTCCTGGATCTACAGCCTCAGTCCTGGATCTACAGCCTCAGTCCTGGGTCTACAGCCTCAGTCCTGGATCTACAGCCTCAGTCCTGGATCTACAGCCTCAGTCCTGGATCTACAGCCTCAGTCCTGGGTCTACAGCCTCAGTCCTGGATCTACAGCCTCAGTCCTCAGAAGCGAGAGAGAGAGAGGGAGGGAGTTGTGCAGAGCTACAAAAGGTCGGATGCTGAGCTCAGAGTTCCCACACGAGACGTGGCACATGACATTCACTCGACCCCTGCCCCCATCCTCTTACACTTCTACACATCTGCGATAAATGAATGAATACAGCTTTTCTTCTTGGTTTTTACAGTGAGTCTCACACAGTGTGGGATTAAAAACATGAACATCAAGTCAAACCCTCTGTTTTAAACCCGGTAATGTGTGTTCTGGGCCAAATCCATTGAAGTTTCAGCAAAGTGGGGAAGGAGCAACTTGTACTGTCTTTGGCTAAAAAAATTCACAAGTGGATATCGCTGTTCCAGGGAAAGGTCCGGAATTAATGAGCACGGATTAATTTAATATTATAGACACAGCGTGAGTCAAGGAGTAAGGTAAGAAATCTATGAGAATTTTGTTTTTTGTTTTTTTTAACCCATATTATGCTTTCTATCTTTTTAGTAAGCTTTAAAATGATATACAGCGTGTTGGGTTTGAAGACCAAAATAATTCTGCTTTGACAAGATGGACTCAGAAAAAGACGGAAATGGCAGGTGTTTGGGTTGAGTCTCCATGTTTGTAATGTCTCTGAATTTGATGAAGGACATGAATCTTAGTATATCACAGAATTGAATACTGAATATTGCCCAAATATTGCAATACAATCAAATCATCCCATTTTGACCTATGGGCTCTATGCATGCACCACTTCCACGTTTTAGTTTTAACCCCACTTGACTTCCTGTGCGCGGGGAACGGCTTGAGTTTCACTGGAGATCAGATGTTTACACGAGTTTCCTAAATAATGCTCAAACAGGAATTAAACTGTGAGGATACTGGGCATTTTTGGGACACAGCAGTGCTCTTTTGTTGTAAGTAGTAATGTTTATTTATGTAGCGCATTTTACAGACCAAGGTACAGACCCAAAGCGCTTTACAAAGTTCAGAGTCAGATATAGTTCCAGTCATTCCACACACGGTGATGACAGAAGCGAGTCCAGAACACACTGGACGATCAGCTCCAACACCATCCATTCACTCTCTCATTTACATTCAGAACTATTGTGCATGTTTTAGTGGTAGGGGAAACCAGAGCACCCAGAGGAAACTTACGCAGACACAGGGAGAACATGCAAACTCCACTCAGAAAGGTCCTGTTCCGACCGGCAGAGGAAGCACGTCCGCACTTTTGGGTCAGTCTCAGCTGAATGTATCGATCTAATCACTAAAAGACGTCACTACAACTCACCTAAAGGCCGTAGCGATAGCACAGACAGGAAGTGAACGGGCTGTTCTTTGTTAACAGGAAATGACCTCACGCCTCCCCGTGAATATACCCCATTCCCGCCTCTCTATTATTATTATGAGGAGGATGAGTTAGATTCCTCAGCTGCAGGTCGTCCATAAACAGGTGTAATCTAAATGTGAGTGATGGAGATGGTCACCTCTGCAGACTTTGCAGCAGCGGTCGCTCAGAGCCACCTGCTCGGACTCGGGGCAGGAGAGTTCAGGACAGGGCTCGCTGGGAACCACTCGGTGCATCGTCCGCTCCTGAAAACACAAAACACAACATTCAACAAGTCTGTCGTCCCTTTGTCCGAGACGAAGAGAAGTCTTTTAATGCCACTTTTTGGCACACTTCTGTATTTTGGTCCATATGTCTCTCTGGTCTCTCTCTGGTCTCTCTCTAGTCTATCTCTGGTCATTCACTGGTTTCTCTCTCTGGTCACTCCCTGGTCTCTCTTTGGTCTCTCCCTCTGGTCTTTCTCAGGTCACTCTCTGGTCTCTCCCTTTGGTATTTCCATGGTCTATATCTGGTCTCTCTGGTCTCTCTCCCCTGGTCTTTCTCAGGTCTCTCCCTGGTCTCTCTCTTGTCTCTCCCTGGTCCTTTCCTGATCTCTCTCAGGTCTCTTTCTGGTCTCTCCTTGTTCTCTCTCTGGTCTCTCCCTGGTCTCTCCCTGCTCTCTCTCTGCTCTCTCCTTGTTCTCTCTCTGCTCTCTCCCTGCTCTCTCTCTGCTCTCTCCTTGTTCTCTCTCTGCTCTCTCCCTGCTCTCTCTCTGCTCTCTCCTTGTTCTCTCTCTGGTCTCTCCCTGGTAACTCTCTGGTCTGTCAAATACTCCTCCACAAGCAGCAAAAAGCAGAACCATTACTCCATCACAAAGACCAGTGAGAGACAGAGATCTGAGGATCATCTTGGTGGATCTTCATTTCAAAAACACAAAAACAAACAACAGAGAGCGTTACGGACACTGCCTCCGTCTGAAATGATGTCCACTTATGGACTTATGGGGATTCAAACCCAGAACCCTCTAATTCTAGCTGAAATATGCAACGTTTTTTGCTGTTTGTTACCAAAGTCAGAGATAAGTTTGAACCAAAACAAACACAATAATCTAGTTTTTTTCTAATTTTCTCGCCCGACAACCATCGCACACGACATCTACACTTCCATACCCCGCCTCAGAACCTCCTTCACTCTCTCTCTCTCTCTCGTGGTTCTCTCTCGTGGTTCTCTCTCTGCATCTGGGGCGACCTGTCAGCAGCACCGAAAAAACCACACTCGAGTTTCTCTGGGAAAAGTTATTCTCGTCAGCAGAAAAAAACAAACTCGTCTAAACGCCAACTTTCTCCACAGCTGCAGAGCGGTGTCAGGGGGAACATGAAGGAGCAGGACTGACACCCTGCCCTCCCATCAGCCTTTGATCAAAGCGGGACGCGGCCATGATGGGGCAGGTGTGGCAGGTGTGGAGAGGCACAGATGGGACTAGGAGGAGGCTAACGAGGCGTGAGGCTCATGGCGACGCCGCTATTGTACTGAAACTGGGACAGCGTTGACGAGAACAAACAGGGAAGAGGGATCAGAGGAATAAGACGGTCTCTCTCTGTGGACCACTGCAGTCTGTGTGTGAGGGGGTTTCTCTCTGTGGACCACTGCAGTCTGTGTGTGGGGGGGTCTCTCTCTGTGGACCACTGCAGTCTGTGTGTGTGTGTGGGTCTCTCTCTGTGGACCACTGCAGTCTGTGTGTGTGTGTGGGTCTCTCTGTGTGGACCACTGCAGTCTGTGTGTGGGGGTCTCTCTCTCTGTGGACCTCTGCAGTCTGTGTGTGGGGGGGTCTCTTTCTGCGGACCACTGCAGTCTGTGTGTGTGTGTGGGTCTCTCTGTGTGGACCACTGCAGTCTGTGTGTGGGGGTCTCTCTCTCTGTGGACCACTGCAGTCTGTGTGTGTGTGTGGGTCTCTCTGTGTGGACCACTGCAGTCTGTGTGTGGGGGGGTCTCTCTCTCTGTGGAGCACTGCAGTCTGTGTGTGGGGGGGTCTCTCTCTGTGGACCACTGCAGTCTGTGTGAGGGGGGGTCTCTCTCTGTGGACCACTGCAGTCTGTGTGAGGGGGGGTCTCTCTCTGTGGACCACTGCAGTCTGTGTGTGGGGGGGTCTCTCTCTGTGGACCACTGCAGTCTGTGTGTGGGGGGGTCTCTCTCTGTGGACCACTGCAGTCTGTGTGTGGGGGGGGTCTCTCTCTGTGGACCACTGCAGTCTGTGTGTGAGGGGGTCCATCTCTGTGGACCACTGCAGTCTGTGTGTGGGGGTCTCTCTCTGTGGACCACTGCAGTCTGTGTGTGAGGGGGTCTCTCTCTGTGGACCACTGCAGTCTGTGTGTGGGGGGGTCTCTCTCTGTGGACCACTGCAGTCTGTGTGTGAGGGGGTCTCTCTCTGTGGACCACTGCAGTCTGTGTGGGGGGGGGGGGGGTCTCTCTCTCTGTGGACCATTGCAGTCTGTGTGTGGGAGGGTCTCTCTCTGTGGACCACTGCAGTCTGTGTGGGGGGGTCTCTCTGTGTGGACCACTGCAGTCTGTGTGTGGAGGGTCTCTCTCTGTGGACCATTGCAGTCTGTGTGTGGGAGGGTCTCTCTCTGTGGACCACTGCAGTCTGTGTGGGGGGGTCTCTCTGTGTGGACCACTGCAGTCTGTGTGTGAGGGGGTCTCTCTCTGTGGACCACTGCAGTCTGTGTGTGGGGGGTCTCTCTCTGTGGACCACTGCAGTCTGTGTGTGGGGGGGTCTCTCTGTGTGGACCACTGCAGTCTGTGTGTGGGGGTCTCTCTCTGTGGACCTCTGCAGTCTGTGTGTGGGGGGGTCTCTCTCTGTGGACCACTGCAGTCTGTGTGTGGGGGGGTCTCTCTCTGTGGACCACTGCAGTCTGTGTGTGTGTGGGTCTCTCTGTGGACCACTGCAGTCTGTGTGGGGGGGGGTCTCTCTCTGTGGACCTCTGCAGTCTGTGTGTGGGGGGGTCTCTCTCTGTGGACCTCTGCAGTCTGTGTGTGGGGGTCTCTCTCTGTGGACCTCTGCAGTCTGTGTGTGGGGGGGTCTCTCTCTGTGGACCACTGCAGTCTGTGTGTGGGGGGGGTCTCTCTCTGTGGACCACTGCAGTCTGTGTGTGTGTGGGTCTCTCTGTGGACCACTGCAGTCTGTGTGTGGGGGGTCTCTCTCTCTCTGTGGACCACTGCAGTCTGTGTGTGGGGGGGTCTCTCTGTGTGGACCACTGCAGTCTGTGTGTGAGGGGGTCTCTCTGTGTGGACCACTGCAGTCTGTGTGTGAGGGGGTCTCTCTCTGTGGACCACTGCAGTCTGTGTGTGGGGGTCTCTCTCTGTGGACCACTGCAGTCTGTGTGTGTGTGGGTCTCTCTGTGTGGACCACTGCAGTCTGTGTGTGAGGGGGTCTCTCTCTGTGGACCACTGCAGTCTGTGTGTGGGGGGGGGTCTCTCTCTGTGGACCACTGCAGTCTGTGTGGGGGGGGGTCCCTCTCTGTGGACCATTGCAGTCTGTGTGTGGGAGGGTCTCTCTCTGTGGACCACTGCAGTCTGTGTGTGGGGGGGTCTCTCTGTGTGGACCACTGCAGTCTGTGTGTGGGGGTCTCTCTCTCTGTGGACCTCTGCAGTCTGTGTGTGGGGGTCTCTCTCTGTGGACCTCTGCAGTCTGTGTGTGGGGGGGTCTCTTTCTGCGGACCACTGCAGTCTGTGTGTGGGGGGGTCTCTCTCTGTGGACCACTGCAGTCTGTGTGTGGGGGGGTCTCTCTCTGTGGACCACTGCAGTCTGTGTGAGGGGGTCTCTCTCTGTGGACCACTGCAGTCTGTGTGTGAGGGGGTTTCTCTCTGTGGACCACTGCAGTCTGTGTGTGGGAGGGTCTCTCTCTGTGGACCACTGCAGTCTGTGTGTGAGGGGGTCTCTCTGTGTGGACCACTGCAGTCTGTGTGTGAGGGGGTCTTTCTCTGTGGACCACTGCAGTCTGTGTGTGGGGGGGTCTCTCTCTCTGTGGACCACTGCAGTCTGTGTGTGGGGGGGTCTCTCTCTCTGTGGAGCACTGCAGTCTGTGTGTGTGGGGGTCTCTCTCTGTGGACCACTGCAGTCTGTGTGTGAGGGGGTCTCTCTCTCTGTGGAGCACTGCAGTCTGTGTGTGTGGGGGTCTCTCTCTGTGGACCACTGCAGTCTGTGTGTGTGGGGGTCTCTCTCTGTGGACCACTGCAGTCTGTGTGTGGGGGTCTGGGACAGGGAGGGTCTTGAGAGCTCTGGTTTGGACCGGATTTTGAACCAATGGCTCCAGTTGGTTCATCTCTCTCTCTGGTCTCACTCTAGTCTACCTCTGGTTATTCACTGGTCTCTCTCTCTCTGGTCTCTCTTGGTCTCTCCTTCTGGTCTATTTCTGGTCTCTCTATGGTCCCTCCCTGGTCTCTCTCTATGGTATTTCTCAGGTCACTCTCTGGTCTCACCCTTTGGTATATCCCTGGTCTATCTCTGGTCTCTCTCCCCTGGTCCATCCCAGCTCTCTCTCTGCTCTCTCTAGTCTCTCTCTGGTCTCTTTCTGGTCTCTCTTTGGTCTCTCTCTGGTCTCTCTCTGGTCTCTCTCTGGTCTCTCTCTGGTCTCTCTCTGGTCTCTCTCTGGTCTCTCTCTGGTCTCTCTCTGGTCTCTCTCTGGTCTCTCTCTGGTCTCTCTCTGGTCTCTCTCTGGTCTCTCTCTGGTCTCTCTCTGGTCTCTTTCTGGTCTCTCTCTGGTCTCTTTCTGGTCTCTCTCTGGTCTCTCTCTAGTCTCTCTCTGGTTTCTCTCTGGTCTCTCTCTGGTCTCTCTGGTCTCTCTCTGGTCTCTCTCTGGTCTCTCTCAGGTCTCTCTCAGGTCTCTCTCTCTGGTCTCTATTAAATTGGATTGAATTGAATTGATTTATCGTCACTTCTGGTTAAACGAAAGTCAAACATCAGAGAAAAACCTTTTGATCTGACACTGTCCAATCATCAAAAACTTACTTTCACTTTGGGCAGACTGACTGTGCCCTTCAGACTAATGTCATTACGTGAATCACCGCCTCACAGCTGCTGCAGCGGCACAACGCTCGGAATAATGTGGAATAATGTTGTAATGAATCTGATTTGTGGACTCTCCGGGACGCGTCAATCGTCCGGGACGCTCCCTGGACCGCCCCGTGATTGACAGGTGCGGCGTGCGAGCTCCCAAGACCAGATCCAATAAGAAACATTTGGACAATTACCTCCAATTACACGAAAAGACAAGAGCGAGGCGGGAGACAGAGGCAGACGTTACCTGTGAGGAGACACATCTGCTCATACAGCAACACTCAAATCTTCAGATACATGTGTTCACGGCTTTGGATTTTTGCAGTTTTGAAATCCATATTAATTATTCTAATCTAAAAACAGTAATAAGTCAAAAGGCAGACAGCAGATGACAGATATAGATAATATCATAAGTGACCACCGGTGTCTCTTGGTGTCTATTAGAACTCCCAGAGCTCACTGTGTGTAACTTTAAGGTCTTGACTTTTTGGTCTTGACTTTTTGGTCTTGACTCTTTGGTCTTGACTTTTTGGTCTTGACTTTTTGGTCTTGACTTTTTGGTCTTGACTTTTTGGTCTTGATTTTTTGGTCTTGACTTTTTGGTCTTGACTTTTAGGTCTTGACTTTTAGGTCTTGACTTTTAGGTCTTGACTTTTAGGTCTTGACTTTTAGGTCTTGACTTTTAGGTCTTGACTTTTTGGTCTTGACTTTTTGGTCTTGACTTTTTGGTCTTGACTTTTTGGTCTTGACTTTTTGGTCTTGACTTTTTGGTCTTGACTTTTAGGTCTTGACTTTTAGGTCTTGACTTTTAGGTCTTGACTTTTAGGTCTTGACTTTTAGGTCTTGACTTTTAGGGCTTGACTTTTAGGTCTTGACTTTTAGGTCTTGACTTTTTGGTCTTGACTTTTTGGTCTTGACATTTTGGTCTTGACTTTTTGGTCTTGACTTTTTCTATATCTCTAGTAGTTAATAGTAGTTTATTCTAGTTTATCTCTGTCATTCAATTCAATTCTTGTATGGACCTAAATCACAACAGTAGTTATCTCAGGGGACTTGACAAAACCATTGAATTCACCAACACAGCTGTGAGAATGGTCTTGGTAAAACACACTGCAAGAAATTGATTTAAAAATGTGGTTATATTTGCTTAAATCAAGTGGTTTTATCTTCATTTGAGTGCATTTAGTCTTAAAACAAGATTAACCAATGGGACCAAGCCATTTAGATTTATTTCAAGAACTGCTACTTTTATTTCTCATTCCAAAGGAGTCTTCTCTTCTCTTTCGTTTTAAAACAAGATAGTATTGCTTTGTCTCATTTGTTTTAAGAAAATGTGCTCAAATTAGAAAGTAAGTAATCTTTATTTATATACCGCCTTTCACAGACCAGAGCGGTTTACAATTGTGGGCATTTGTCTCTCACTCCACAGAGAGGGGCCAGTACAGGAGGCGCATGCCAGAACTAATGTACATGTTTTTAGTGGTAGGGGAAAACGGAAGAAACCTACGCAGACACGGGGAGAACATGCAAACTCCACTCAGAAAGGCCCTGTCCCGAGAGTGCTAACCACTCAGCCACTGTGCCGCCAAAATTAGGATTCATTTTGCCAGATCGAGCCATTTTTGACTCATTTCAGTATAGTTCTATCTTTGAAGAGCGAGTGCTGGTTACTATAGCAACACGCCGTTTACCGTTCAGCAGTTTGCATTTGGTCTTTACCATTTAGCAAGTGTTTAGTGGAGTACTTAAAAAAATCTAATCTGGTGCAAAAAGCGGGGGAATTTCTCACTTGGTTTTAATGGGAGCAGTCAAAATGACGCTACAGGACACGGGTTTGAGGTCAGAACAGATGAAAGCGAATGGTTTCAGATGGAAGAGGCCTCAGAGGCGTCAGTTCTGCTCTGAGCCAGAAGAACGTAACACATGGCAGAGTTAAAAAAAAGATTACGTAACGTTCAAGGATCCACTTTTAGAAATAAACGTGTGACTGCACAAACAGGAAGAGGGTGGTTTTAAGCAGAATGACGTTTACAAGACGTACTGTACACAGAACTATATATACAGATTTAACACGCTGTATTTGTGGCCATTGGAAATTATAATAACACCATATTGTATTCTAAAACGTCAGGACCAGTCTAGAACAAGTCAAAAACTAACGCCTTAAAAAACACCATCTACAGCCTCAGTCCTAAACCTACAGCCTCAGTCCTGGATCTACAGCCTCAGACCTGGATCTACAGCCTCAGTCCTGGATCTACAGCCTCAGACCTGGATCTACGGCCTCAGTCCTGGATCTAAAGCCTCAGTCCTGGATCTACAGCCTCAGTTCTGGATCTACAGCCTCAGTCCTGGATCTACAACTCAGTCCTAAACCTACAGCCTCAGTCCTGGATCTACAGCCTCAGTCTTGAATCTCCAGCCTCAGTCCTAGGTCTACAGCTTCAGTCCTGGATCTAAACCCTCAGACCTGGATCTACAGCCTCAGTCCTAGGTCTGCAGCCTCAGTCCTAAACCTACACCCTCAGTCCTGGATCTACAGCCAAGACAGCCTCTCAAAATACATTGAAGTGATTTGCACAGGGTTCTGGTGTTTCCAAAGGCTAACGCTAGGCTCTACAGTGAAATATTCAATGAAAAGGATTACTTCAGCATCATTTTTATATTCTACACACACTGGACCATACTCAAGACTAGGGAGAGTATTAATGAAGTGTGTATTCTCTCCCCTCATGGACCCTGCGGACACACTCTCCCCTAATTATATGTTGGTGTCAAACAGAAACAAACCGTATTTCAATAGAACGGCCATCAAATTACACACATGGCGTCTCGTGTGTGGTCTCCTAGGTTACGGCGGCGTCTCCTCGTGTTCAGGAAAACATCTTTGCTAATTACAGCGAGTGCCGAGGTGCGTTCACGTACCCGGCATTCGAACAGCAGGCACCTTCCAGAAGAGTCCCTGACGGCTTTACGGTCTCCTTCCACCAGCTCCCGCCCTCCGAACAGACACACAGCTGCAAGGACAAGACACTGAGGTTAGAGAGAGACCAGAGAGAGACTAGAGAGAGACCAGAGAGAGACTAGAGAGAGACCAGAGAGAGACTAGAGAGAGACCAGAGAGAGACTAGAGAGAGACCAGAGAGAGACCAGAGAGAGACTAGAGAGAGACCAGAGAGAGACCAGAGAGAGACTAGAGAGAGACTAGAGAGAGACTAGAGAGAGACTAGAGAGAGACCAGAGAGAGACCTGAGAGAGACCAGAGAGAGACCAGAGAGAGACCAGAGAGAGACCTGAGAGAGACCAGAGCGAGACCAGAGAGAGACCAGACAGTTACTGGGTGAGAAAAAATCTGGAGCGACTCAAACAGTCTAAACAGGGGTTGAGTCAGACACGCTTCAGAGAGAGACCAGAGAGAGAGACCAGAGATAGAGACCAGAGAGAGAGACAAGAGAGAGACTACAGAGACAAGAGAGACCAGTGAGAGAGACAAGAGAGAGCGAGACCAGAGAGAGACCAGAGAGAGAACAGAGAACGTAATCCCTGTAATTACAATCAAAACAGACTAATTGCATGGCTTTAGTTAGATAAAAATAAGAAGACTGATTGACTTTTTCTTGGGTGAGGCTCTGACAGACCTAGATAAGACCCAAGCCCAGTGTTTCTCCATAGAAGTCTCTCTCGTCTCCCTCTGAACTCGGTCGGAGTAATTAGCTTCCCGGTTTGTGCCTCGCTGCAGATACCGAAGGCTGTGTGGACTAAGACTAACAGGGATTACAGACACATGTTTGGTGCAGAGCGTTACCTGCGGCCTCTGTGTTTCAGACTGACCCCTGAGGTCCATGTAATAACACGGACACGAGGTTAGAGGAGTTAGGCCAAAGCTACAGCTGATATTCCAGTTGATGAATTCTGCTGGAAAAATGGCCTCTTTCTCTCTCTCTGGTCTCTCTCACTCCTCTGTCTCTCTCTAGTCTCTTTCTCTAGTCTCTCTCCCTGGTTTCAATCTTCGTCTCTCTCTCTGTCTCTCTCTATGGTCCGTCTCTCTCTGGTCTTTCTATGCGGTCTCTCCTTCTGGTCTCAGTCTGGTTTCTCTCTGGTCTCTCTCTCTTGTCTCTCTCTGGTTTCTCTCTGGTCTCTCTCACTAGTCTCTCTCTCTGGTCTCTCTCTCTTGTCTCTCTCTGGTTTCCCTCTGGTCTCTCTCTCTAGTCTCTCTCTCTGATCTCTCTCTGCCCTCTCTCTGGTCTCTCTCTGGTCTCTCTCTGGTCTCTCTCTCTGGTCTCTCTCTGGTCTCTCTCAGGTCTCTCTGGTCTTCCCTTTGTTTGATCGCTTTTGTTCTAATAACAATGGACATCAATAACTCAAGAGCAGAGAGAGACCAGAAAGAGGGAACTGAGAGAGAGATACCAGATAGAGAGGGACTTGAGAAAGAGACACCAGCAAGAGGGACAAGATGGAGATTAGAAAGACACCAGACAGAAACCAGAGAGAAACCGAAACAATAGATTCTCAAATCTGAAAATCCTTTCTTCTGTCCAACATCCAACTCTCTCTGGCTCCTCTTGACTCACATGTCGAAGTAACTCCTCTCGCTTAGTAACCGTTTGTGTCACAATCCCCATTTTGGGCAAAAAAAATCTGTGTTCTGAGAAAGCCAATCCCACGCTTTAATTCAAAGGGAAAACTCCATCTTGCCTTAGCAACCGTCTTAGCAACACGTCTACAAAAATGTCACACTTTCAGTCCACTCCTAAAGTACGGCTTATTGTAGAGCTGTACAATCAGTAAAATCATGTGTCTTACTCTCTGCTATAAGTTTAATGAGGGTTATTATGTGCGGCGCTGGGGTGAGGAGAGCTAATATCAGAGAACCCGCTTTATTAAGAAGGGAATTGAGAGAAATAAAGTTGCGATGAAGACGGCGTGAGTTTGAGAAGTGTCTGTGGATGTAAAATAAAAGAGAATTATTTATGCAGCGAGAAAGAAGCCAGAGCAAAGTTTGACGCTTAGTAAGAGATCTGATCCGAGACGAGATGTACGTCTGTGGACAGAAAAGGCAAGGGTTTGTAGAAAGAAGAAAGTGCTTTGTTGGACTTGAATTATTTACGGTTTAATTGAGTGAGAGAGAGACCAGAGAGAGAAAGAGAGCAGAGAGAGACCAGAGAAAGACCAGAGAGAGTGAGGGCAGAGAAAAATCAGAGAGAGGGAGATGCCAGAGAGGGACCAAAAAGAGACCACACTGCAAAAGATGACAGAATTAAAGACAAAAAAATGCTCAAATTTGGCTAAATGTATCTAAATATGAGCACATTTTGACTGCCTTAAAACAAGATTTGCCAGTGGAACAAGAAAAATGATCTTGTTTTAAAAAGATACAAGATATTTCTCTCTTGGAATGAGAAAATAAAGCAATAGTTCTTGAATCAAGTCAAAATGGCTTGTCTCATTGGCAAATCTCATTTTAAGACAGTCAGAATGAACTTAAGTCAAGTTAAAAAAAACTCGATTCTAGTTATTATGATCTCATATTTGATCATTTTTTGCAGTGCAGAAAGAGAGAGACCAGAGAGTGAGGCTCAAGAGAGATCAGAGAGAGGAAAAAGAGAGACCAGAGTGAGAGAGACCAGAGAGAGAGAAACCAAGACAAGAGAGGCCAGAGAGAAAGAGACCATAGAGAGAGGCTCGAGAGAGACCAGATGGAGAGACCAGAGCGAGACCAGAGCGAGACCAGAAAGAGACTAGAGAGAGACCAGAAAGAGAGACCAGAGCGAGAGAGGCCAAAGAGAGAGAACATAGAGAGAGGCTCGGGAGAGACCAGATAGAGACCAGAGAGACCAGAAAGAACAGAGAGAGACCAGAGAGAAACAGGTCAGAGAGAGAGTCTTGAGAGACCAGATAGAGAGAGAGATCAGAGAGAGGAGAAAACATGGAGAATTGTCAACGATAAAATATTAAAAAGAAAAGTAATGGTTGATGTTTAGAAGCAAAAATTTGCTAAAATAATTAAACAGGGAAAGAAGTTATTATTCCCTGTCTCCCATTAAAGTGTCTGTCTGTTTGTCTGCCTCTGTCTGTCTCTCTGTCTGTTTGTCTGTCTCTGTATGTCTGTTTGTCTGTCTCTGTCTGTCTGTTTGTCTCTGTCTGTTTGTCTGTCTCTGTCTGTCTGCTTGTCTGTCTCTGTCTGTTTGTCTGTCTCTGTCTGTCTGCTTGTCTGTCTCTGTCTGTTTGTCTGTCTCTGTCTGTCTGTTTGTCTCTGTCTGTCTGTGTGTTTGTCTGTCTCTGTCTGTTTGTCTGTCTCTGTCTGTCTGCTTGTCTGTCTCTGTCTGTTTGTCTGTCTCTGTCTGTCTGTTTGTCTCTGTCTGTCTGTGTGTTTGTCTGTCTCTGTCTGTTTGTCTGTCTCTGTCTGTCTGTCTCTGTCTGTTTGTCTGTCTCTGTCTGTCTGCTTGTCTGTCTCTGTCTGCTTGTCTGTCTCTGTCTGCTTGTCTGACTCTGTCTGTTTGTCTGTCTCTGTCTGTTTGTCTGTCTCTGTCTGTTTGTCTGTCTCTGTCTGTCTGTTTGTCTCTGTCTGTCTGTGTGTTTGTCTGTCTCTGTCTGTTTGTCTGTCTCTGTCTGTCTCTGTCTGTCTGTTTGTCTGTCTCTCTGTCTGTCTGTCTGTCTGTCTCTGTCTGTCTCTCTGTCTGTCTGTCTGTCTCTGTCTGTCTCTCTGTCTGTTTGTTTGTCCGTCTCTCTGTTTGTCTCTGTCTGTTTGTCTGTCTGTTTGTCTCTGTCTGTTTGTCTCTGTCTGTTTGTCTGTCTGTTTGTCTCTGTCTGTCTGTTTGCCTGTCTCTGTCTGTCTGTCTCTGTCTGTCTCTCTGTCTGTTTGTCCGTCTCTGTTTGTCTGTCTCTGTCTGTCTGTTTGTCTCTGTCTGTTTGTCTCTGTCTGTTTGTCTCTGTCTGTTTGTCTGTCTGTTTGTCTCTGTCTGTCTGTTTGCCTGTCTCTGTCTGTCTGTCTCTGTCTGTTTGCCTGTCTCTGTCTGTCTCTCTGTCTGTTTGTCCGTCTCTGTTTGTCTGTCTCTGTCTGTCTGTTTGTCTCTGTCTGTTTGTCTGTCTGTTTGTCTCTGTCTGTCTGTTTGCCTGTCTCTGTCTGTCTGTCTCTGTCTGTCTCTCTGTCTGTTTGTCCGTCTCTGTTTGTCTGTCTCTCTGTCTGTCGGTTTTTCTCTGTCTGTTTGTCTGTCTCTGTCTGTCTGTTTGCCTGTCTCTGTCTGTCTGTCTCTGTGTCTGTCTCTGTGTCTGTCTGTCTGTCTGTCTGTCTCTGTGTCTGTCTCTGTGTCTGTCTCTGTGTCTGTCTCTGTCTGTCTCTGTGTCTGTCTCTGTCTGTCTGTCTGTCTCTGTGTCTGTCTCTGTCTGTCTGTCTGTCTCTGTGTCTGTCTCTGTCTGTCTGTCTGTCTCTGTCTATTTAAACAAGATTAAGTTAAAGGTCCAGTTCTTTTCTTCCTCATGTGTCTGAGAGAGAGCAGCAGGTCACAGTAGCTCCTGCATTTCACACCTTTTAAGGATATTTATATACTTTTATCTCCTTTTTTTATATTATTCTTATTTTCAAATTGTTACTTTAAGGTTATTTTTATTGTGAAATACTTCGCAATTTCCCTCGTGGATGAATAAAGTCTGTCAAAGTCTAAGTCTATCCTGCTTCAGGTTCATCTATTCTAAACATTGGTGTTTTGTCTGGATTTTGTTTTTATATTTGTCATTGAACATTTATTTTATATCGTAAACAAGCCTTTTAGTTAATCTTAATTAAAGTTGTCTCTGTTTGGTATTTGGTAATGTATTTTTAATGTATTTGAATGTGTTTTAATGTCTTTTTAACATCACGTCCAGAGATTACATGAAAAATGGCCTCCTTAGCTCCTCTGGCTTTTTAAACTAATATTAATATTTAATCATGTGTTTTATGAAATTGCATCGTCCCCTTTGAAATAAACTAAACTAAAACTTAAGCTTCATTAGGCTTAAGTCACATCTGTGGAGAGGAGAGTCTTCCCACTGTTTAATCTCTAAAATCTGTCCATATCTGGTCTCTCCCCATGGTCTCTCTCTTTGGACTCTCTCTCTTGTCTCTCTCTTGTCTCTCTCTGGTCTCTCTCTGGTCTCTCTCTGGTCTCTCTCTGGTCTCTCTCTGGTCTCTCTCTGGTCTCTCTCTGGTCTCTGTCTCTGGTCTCTCTTTTTGGTCTCTCTCTGGTCTCTTTTTGGTCTCTCTCTGGTCTCTCTCTGGTCTCTCTCTGGTCTCTTTTTGGTCTCTCTCTGGTCTCTCTCTGGTCTCTCTCTGGTCTCTGTCTCTGATCTCTCTTTTTGGTCTCTCTCTGGTCTCTTTTTGGTCTCTCTCTGGTCTCTCTCTGGTCTCTCTCTGGTCTCTGTCTCTGATCTCTCTTTTTGGTCTCTCTCTGGTCTCTTTTTGGTCTCTCTCTGGTCTCTCTCTGGTCTCTCTCTGGTCTCTGTCTCTGATCTCTCTTTTTGGTCTCTCTCTGGTCTCTTTTTGGTCTCTCTCTGGTCTCTCTCTGGTCTCTTTTTGGTCTCTCTCTGGTCTCTCTCTGGTCTCTCTCTGGTCTCTCTCTGGTCTCTGTCTCTGATCTCTCTTTTTGGTCTCTCTCTCTGGTCTCTCTCTAGTCCATATCTAGCCTCTCTTTGGACTCTCTATAGCCCATATGTGGTCTCTTTGGTCTTTCTCTCAAGTCTCTCTCTCCAGTTTCTCTTCTCTCCGATTTCTCTCTGGTCTCTCTCTGGTCTATCTCTGGTCTCTGTCACTAATCTCTCTTTTTGGTCTCTCTTTCTGGTCTCTCTCTAGCCCATATCTGGCCTCTCTTTGGACTCTCTATAGTCCATAACTGGTCTCTGGTCTTTAGTCTCTCTCTCTGGTTTCTCATCCAATCTTGAGGTTATTGAGTGACATATCTACAGTATGGCAAGGGGCTGGTCTGGGAACACTGCGGGTAAAGCGGGTCACCACCAGGACGGGAGAAGAATGCATCTGTAAAAACAGCCGATTGTGACCTTTGCCAAATGTTGACGTCCGTGTGATTCCAGCGTTCCAAACCAGAGGCTGTCTCTCAGTCTGTGGATTCTCCTGTGGGTGCGACAGGCCATCTGTGTTTGGAGGGAGCTGTGAATAATTGATTGGTTCGTGTTTATGCAGAAGGACGGCCATCTCCTGCACTGACATGTTAGCTGCAGCTTAGCAACGCCGCTGTCCTTTTTCTGTGACAATTTAAAGCTTGGATTTCACCAGTTCAGGGTCTTCTGCATGGGTCTGAGTGGGTCCTCTCTGATGCAGGAAGGTCTAAGGACCAATGGCTCCTAATCGGTTAAGGACTCTCGGGTCTCGCTAGTAAATCTCTGGTCTCTCAGGCTCGGGTCTCTAGTCCCTCTTTGGTCTCTCTCTGGTCTCTCTCTCTGGTCTCTCGCTCTCTGGTCTCTCTCTCCCTGGTATCTCTCTCTCTCTGGTATATCTCTGGATTCTCTCAACGGTCCATCTCTGGTCTCTTGTTGGTCTATCCCTGGTCTCTCTCCCTCTGGTCTCTCTCTCTGGTCTCTCTCTCTGGTCTCTCTCTCCGGTCTCTCTCTCTCTCCGGTCTCTCTCTCTCTCTGGTCGGTCTCTCTCTCTGGTCGGTCTCTCTCTGGTCGGTCTCTCTCTGGTCGGTCTCTCTCTGGTCGGTCTCTCTCTGGTCGGTCTCTCTCTGGTCTCTCTCTCTCTGGTCTCTCTCTCTCTGGTCTCTCTCTGGTCTCTCTCTGGTCTCTCTGGTCTCTCTGGTCTCTCTCTGGTGTGGCTCCGATCTGTACAGCCAGAGGAAATCCAGAGAATATTTGGATGTTGTAGAGTTATATTCTAACATATTTCAATTTGGCAGTTTCTCTGTGAAAACCTGTCGAGAGCAGAAGCTGCAGAGTTCAGATCCCTCTTGGACCAGAGACTTTTTAAAGAACAAACTCAGAGAGGTCAGCAACTTTAGGTTAGAGCCGAATTCATCAAAACAAAAAGCTGGTCCAGAGCAGAATCCTTTCTTTGACTTTTACACCAATCTGTATAAGATGGCTCCTATAGGTCCATAGGTCTCTGGTCTCTCTCCATGGACTCCCTCTCTGGTCTCTTTTTCTCTAGTCTCTCTCTCTGGTTTCTCCTCTCTGGTCTCTCTCTGGTCTCTCTCTGGTCTCTCTCTGGTCTTTCTCTCTGGACTCCCTTTGGTCTCTCTCTGGTCTTCCTCTAGTCTCTGTCTCTGATCTCTCTATTTGGTCTCCCTCTCTAGTCTCTCTCTGGTCTCTCTCTCTGGTCTCTCTCTCTCTGGTCTCTCTCTGGTCTCTCTCTGGTCTCTCTCTCTGGTCTCTCTCTCTGGTCTCTCTCTCTGGTCTCTCTCTGGTCTCTCTCTGGTATCTCTCTCTGGTCTCTCTCTCTGGTCTCTCTCTCTGGTCTCTCTCTGGTCTCTCTCTGGTGTCTCTCTGGTCTCTCTCTGGTCTCTCTCTGGTCTCTCTCTGATTCCATACGTCTCTTTACTTCAGATCTATTTTTTTACACTATAATATTTTTCTTTGTTTTTCGCTGTGGGCAGTTTTGACTCAGTTTGTGTGTGCGTGTGTGTGTGTGTGTGTGTGTGTGTGTGTGTTGTGTAATGCTGCTGTTCCAGTGTGGGAGGCTGTAACTGAGAGTGAGGAGGAGGAGGCAGAGGTCAGAGGTCACTCACGCTGGCACTCCCGGCAGCAGGCTCCTCTCACGTAGGCCGCGACCGTCCCCCTCGGACACTGAGGGGGGGGGCAGGAGATGGCCTCGCACTGCACCGAGCCGTTCTACAACAAACACACACAAAACACACAACTGAAAACATTCACTGAGACATTTATGTACATCTAAGTCTAAAGTACCATGTTTTAAAACTATGGAAAATGGAAATATGTCTTAAAATCCATGTAACTACTATAGTCGCTAGCTCTGAGTGCAGTTTCTTTGTTTGTTTTGTGTGTGTCTCACATTTTCAGGAAGACTGTTCAAGCTGCATGAATCTGAAATGCTGCCTCCCCACGTTTAGTCCTGACTCTTGGCACCAGCAGGAGGCCAGTCCCTGTGCTCCTCAGAGTCCCAGTAGGAGGCCAGTCCCTGTGCTCCTCAGAGTCCCAGCAGGAGGCCAGTCCCTGTGCTCCTCAGAGTCCCAGCAGGAGGCCAGTCCCTGTGCTCCTCAGCGTCCCAGCAGGAGGCCAGTCCCTGTGCTCCTCAGAGTCCCAGCAGGAGGCCAGTCCCTGTGCTCCTCAGAGTCCCAGCAGGAGGCCAGTCCCTGTGCTCCTCAGAGTCCCAGTTGGTTCATATGGTAGTAACATGTCACTGACGTTGGTTAGAGGCAATAGAGAGACTTCTAACAGAGCTGCTCAATTCTCTGAGCCACAGGAGCCGGAGCAGAGACCTGTCCTTATGTCTACTACATTAGACTGATAAATATATTTACGGTGAAAAAAACCAAACAAGACTAGACACAGCTGTTTCCTGGACTCAGACTCCTCCAAAGTCCATCAGGATTGAAGTAAACCCATTGTCACACTGAGAATCCCTCCCTGTTGATCGGGGCGCGTGTCGCTGTCTCTTCCAGGAACGAGCTCATTAACATTGCTTCCACAGATGAATGGCGCGGTGACAGCCACATCTCTCAGCCTGATCCGCATAATTGATAACATCTTAATGCTCGACCTTTGCATTTCAAAGGGCACTGCTAATTGCCGAGCATAAGGTAAGGAACACATTCGATCTAATGCTGTAATGAGTCAGGGCCGGAGCCGCAGACAGAGACCGACCAGCCCCCGTCCACCAGAACCGCTGCCATTGGACGAGTGGGCAGAAGGAATCGGCCGTGATAATTATCCAGCGATTACGAGAGGATTTGCAGGCTTGTGTTGGAGCGTTTGGGCAGTGAGAGAGAGTTTAGGCCGTAGATTGGTCTTTCCGAAAAGGGCATCTCCGCTCGAGCGAGTCTTACGCGATTTTAAATCCGCGCAGACTGACAACTGTGAAACGCGTTTATGAAGTACAAGCGCAAAGTTAATGCTCTTCTTTTTAAGCAATTATTCACGGTCGGAGTCGGTCTGAAGCCGCAGAAGGAGAAGGAGGAGAGCTGCAGATGATGTTTCTCCTTAACCCTTTAATGGTTTCATCTACTTTAAAGTAGTACTAGAATTTTATTTTACCAATTACAGTTTTTGTAAGGTTAGAGCCGTATAAACATTTTGGGAGAAAAAAGAAAACTGAAAAAAAAGAGAAACATGTAAATTATTACACTTTTAGAAATCATCAGTTAAAAACATGCCACCCGACGTGTGACGTAGATGGTTGGCATCCCGCATTCAAACATACGCCTACTCTGTGTACTGTACACTTACACAACCGCTTTTTTTTTTTACTTTTCTTCGGCTTAACGATGGGGAAAACGTGTGTCGCTTACGGCTGTAGTAATGTAAACAAGGATGGCGTTTCATTACACAGCTTCCCAAATCCTACAACTGAAAAAGAGCGATTTGACCAGTGGAACAGACAAGTGAAACGGACGCGTCTTCATTGGACCGGCCCTCCGCTTCCCTATCTGTCTGCTGCGTGGAGATCCTGTGTTGTCTGCTCTGAGCACTTCACGTTGGACTCGTTTGAACACATTAATTCGGTGGCAGCGTCTTTGGGATACAAGACACGGGCTACATTAAAACCTGATGCCATCCCAACAGTCTTCAAACGAAAGAAGCCGAGCAAGGCTTCCCCGACTCCCGCAAGGACGGACAGACGCACACTTCTGACCCACAAGCTCGAACACCGCAGGGTAAGTTATGCTTTTTTTTTATTGTTCATTTGTTTTAGTTAAAACCCGAACTTATAGGCTTATTTTAGGTAGCCACAAACACACAAAAACCATACTAAGTCTAGTTACTGTAGCCTGTCATACGCTAACCGTGTACTTGCAACACGGTTAGCTAGCCGCTGTTACTATTCCTCGATCTCTGTGGTTCCCAAACGGTGGACCTAGACCTAATAGATCCATGGCCTAGACACACTGGTGTGTCGTGAAGCACGTCCATGTGTGCCTTGGGATTTTGTGACAATCCTACGTAGCCCCGGTCTAATCCAGGAATAAACTAGGACTGAGACTCTTACTAAAATCTAATTGCCTTGTTTTAAGAGTTTTAAATGGGTGTCCTTCTTATTGTTAGCTTGAATATAAATATAGAACGTTGTAACAAGTTGTAACTTGTGTGTAGGCAGGCTATTGCTTGGTTTAGTCCTGGTTTGGACCTGGTTTAGTTCTGGTCTTAGTCAGGGTTTAGTCCGTTTTTTTCTCTGCTTTAGTTGGCTTAATTTTATTCTTGTTTTAGCTCTGGCTTTGTCTGATTTTAGTTATGGGTTTGTTCCTGGTTTAGTCTGTTGCTGTTTACCCACAATTTCAATAAATTCAGGAGTTTCTTAAAGAAATATTCTGTAAAATGTGCATTGTTTTTTTAAAAATAAATAGTCTTTAAATAAGTCTTAAAGGACCTTGATGAAATCTGTAGAAACAAGAACAAGTGATTCACAATTGGCAAGTAATTTAGCTTATTAAATTCAGTTTTTTTGTGATATGGACAGGTGTTGATGAGATCAAATATGACAGGTTATTCTTTTCTTTATTGCAGATGATAAATTCTCTCCTTATTCCTGCCATGGACCCAGTGCATCCATCAACATCAGCGGGCTCTTCAAATGAAGATGATGGCATTGGCACCTTTACACCTTCACTTCAAGATCAATCCACACAAACCACATTCAGAAACAAGTCAACGTACAGGAGCAAAGGTATGTTGGTACAGTTATATCCACATACATACACATATGTATATATATGTTTATGTATGTGTGTATATATATATTACTCATGTATTCAGCCATTTATTCATTAACTCAGCTAAACATTTTTATATTGATAGGAGTTTCAGTTCGACCCTGCCAGCGTTCCGTTTCCATACAGTGTACTCTACCATCCAAGAAGGCATGTAGCTCGGATTATCCAATTAATATTTTTGAAGTCCATGATGAGGATGAGGATTTCACCATAGAGGAAGCTGATGACCCTGATTACATCGCAGATGAGCAGGACATTATTGAAGAGTCAGAAAGGTATGTATTTTGTGGAGGTGCGAAAAAGTTGAATATTTCAGACACATTAACTTTTTTTTATATGTAATTTCCAGGATTGAATCATGGCAGCCGGGAGAAAAATTTTACTTGGTTTCAGAGAGCAGCCTTTTGTCACTTTTTAAGATGTGCCCACAATGCACGACAGAAACTGACTGTTCAATAAGCACTGTATCTGGAACAGCAATATCCATAAAGCAAGAATGCCAATCTGGCTTTTGTAGATTTGAGAGACAGTGGAACAGCCAGCCAATGTTGTCGCGAACACGAGTGGGAAACATATGCCTGAGTGCAGCAATTCTCTTTGCTGGCCTAGCCCCATCAAAGGCCCTTCGTATGCTGCACCACATGAATGTACAGTGCATCAGCTATGATACTTTCATGAAACATCAAGCCCAGTACCTACTTCCGTCGATCAATGAAGTATTTACGAATCATGAAGATGAACTGTTGCAAAAAGTGAAAGTGACAAATCAAAGTGGAATAGTTGCAAGTGGGGACGGAAGAGCAGACAGTCCAGGTACATGATTTGATGATCAATAAATCAAACTCTTTATGAAGTGATTTTCATACAAAATGCAACACAAAGTCCTTTACAAACATTAAAATCAAATACAAGCAAAACAGTTTACCTCACAAACACACTTGCACACACAAATTCACACACATACTCAGGCTCACATAGTGAAACGTCTAAAATTGAGTTTCAGTTAAATACAGCATTCACTGGTTCATCTCTCTCTGCTCAGCTTTACCACATTGTAGTTGTCCATGGATTATGTGATTTTGTAAAGTGTCATGTAATTTTGGCCTAGGGCACTCGGAAAAGTATGGTACATACACAGTAATGGAGAGGAAAAGCAAAACAATAATTGCTTCCCAGCTTGTACAGGTGACGGTTTATATTTCATAAATATGCATGCATGTAAAAAGTAAATATTTTATCTATGCTTTGTTTTTCAGTCAAATGAGGTCACCTCAAGCGTAGCTATGGAGAAAGAAGGTTTACTCCGAGCATTAGATCAGCTCAACAGAAATGACGTTGTCATCAAGGAGTTGGTTACAGATAGGCATCTATCAATTCGCAAAATGATGAGAGAAACAAAGCCTGATATAAAGCACAGTGTCGACATCTGGCATCTTGACAAAGGTGTGTTATAGGTCATACTTGAATTTAGTTTTTAAGTAGAATTAAGTAATGTTTATTGTGCTGTTGCAGGTTTAGGAAAGAAGCTTCTTGCAGTCAGTAAAGAGAGAGACTGTGGTCTTGTCAGTGAATGGAAACAGTCCATCTCAAAGCACATCTATTGGTGTGCCAATAATGGGGATGGTAATCCTGATGTCAATGAAGCCATTTGGAGAGGTTTGGCCAACCATATAAAAGGTGTCCACGAACATGAGAGTCCACTATTTCCAACCTGTTTGCATGGTGAAATTGAGGAAAGAAAGTATTTTCAAAGACGTGAGTATACCAAAATGAATATGTAAATTCTCAAATGTTGACTATTGTAATGATCATATTGCTTATGTACATTTCAGATAACGTGAAAAAAAAATGGTAAAATATATGTTAATAGTCAGTTTGTGGTTTCATTATATTATACTTCTATGTAGTGCTATAGATTATATAAAACTGGGAACAAATGAAGAG